AGTTCCCACAGATATCCAAGTGTAGAAAATGAAGTTCTCAAATGGTTCAGAAACTTTTGGGACATGTCCAACACTGCAGTTCTGCTAGTGCAGTAAACTTCTGCTTGTGCAGCACAACTTTCCCCACCTCCCCAACTCTCAAATCCACTTCAGACAGCTGGAGCATATTTTTAGGATGCACAGGGGGAGGAAGAGGAAAACGTGTTGCATTAGTGCACAGTGTTGGATACACCCCTAGAGGAAAAATTAAATGCAAGAAGTTAAAGCAAACAAAATGATTTGAGAGAGGAAAATGAGCAGAATAAAGACTAACAATCAATTCATTTCTTCATATTTCAAGATCTAAGACCGGGTGATGAACCTTTTTTGGTCCAAGGGTCACATTTCCTTATTGTCACACCCTCCACTCAGGGGTGTTTAGACCAAACATGGCATGATCACACTGCATATCCCCTGCCTTCCTGTAGCTCAGCGGATCTGTGAAGATCAACAGAGGAGCATGGAGTATTTTATTTCCCATTGTGGTGCTCAGCTGGGCGTAGAGGTTTAAACCACTCTGCCCTGCCCAGCACTGTGATGCTACCCTCCAGCTCCCAGCCCAGTTTACCATTGGTAATGATGCTGAACAAAGCTGCTTTCCTCTAGCCACCATTGGTCTGAGCAGAGTGGAGTTCTTAGGAAATGTCTGAGCACTCTATACAGTTTATGGAGCACTTGGCTCAATGGTGGCTGGTGGAGTGGCATTTCATTCTGTGCCACTGGTAAACCGACTTGGGGACTAGCAGACAATAAAAGCAAAAGACTAGGCAGACTATAGTCTTGTTTTGCCAACGCAAAATAAATTGGTGTATAGAAGAGTGGGTGAAAGCAAAAGAACTTGTGTGAGGAAGTGCTGAACAAGATTCAGAATGTGAGTCAATATGGATATTGAAGTTGCTAAGAATAAGAGTGGGAGTGGAGAAGAATGAGGCAACTGTAGACTCAAGGATCACAGTAGCTGGCTTCAAAGAGAGAAGGTGATGACAGGCTTAGCTCTCCTGTCTACAACTGACTCCTCTCATCTGAGAAATGCATATGAAAACCAAAAGAAGTGGTTGCAAGTAGGACAGCAAGTACAAAGCAGAATAAACTTTTTTTTAACACCCCCCCCCCCCGTAAATGTCTTAATTTCCTTCCCCACCCTGGACTAAATGAATATTCTTGCTCTAAGTCTACTCCTGCTCCTTAGTGATCCGCTGGAGGTGGGACTGCTCTCTCCTTGTCAGAAGGCGGCATTTTATACTTCATTATCCTGAACTAGTTGGAATGTCTACCATCCTAATGTACAGTCCTTCTGACAGAGAAGTGGCAAGCATGTGACCGTTTCCTATTCTTCCACACAGGAAATTTCTGGCTGTAAGCCATTTTCTTGTCCAGGAAATAAAAGTTGATTCCTTAGGAAGTGTGTGGGAGTGGAGGATATCCTTCTGAATGTATCAGCTTTGTTCCGAGTACAGTACTTTCTCTGTTTGTGACAAAGGTGAAAGAATATATTTGTGGGAGGAGGTTATACTGCTAAAGGGTTTTAGTTCCCCCCACCCCTTTGGATAAATGTTATTTATATACATCTCCCAATTTTATGGCAGTCCTGTTTGAAAGGCCACTTTCTGCCAACTCTTTCCTTTTGGTGCTGAGTGGAAGATAGACATCTATTCAAGAGAAGAAGAAAATCTATTTCACTACTGCAGATTTTTCTTTTAGACTTGTAGGGGAAGTAGTACCTCTGATACGTTTCCTTCTCTAATATACATGGCCAAGCATAGTGAGCAGGCTTAGATACACTTGGGATTAGGGGCTGGCGCTTCCAGATCGGAAGATGCAAGTTCCAAGGATTCCTGAGTTCTGCCACTTCCATTTTTAGAAGTTAACCAGTTTTATGTCAACATAGTGACTGGCACTGAAGGGACACAGCTTATTAGTACTTTTTGAGACAGGCTTTCTTAATGTAGCATGTGTACACGCTACTCAACTACCAGAATCACAGAGGTATCCTTTTGCATAAGCACGCGAAACACAAGATGACTAGTTGAGCTGTTTGTGAAGTTCCAGGTATATAACTTACTGTAATACATTTGGCCACTGTGCTACATTTTCCATGGATGTGATGCATCATTCATGAGGTTCTGCTGATCATTGCATAGACCATGTCTAGCATAGTGTAGGCCAGGGGTCATCAAACTTTTTAAACAGAGGGCCAGTTCACTGTCCCTTAGACACTGTTGAGGGCCGGACTATAGTCTGAAAAAAATGAACAAATTCCTATGCACACTGCACATATTTTATTTGTAGTGCACAAAAAAGAAAAAAACAATACAATATTTAAAAGGAAGAATGATTTTAATCAACATAAACTTATAAAAATTTAAAAATAATTTTGACTGCGTCAGACCACGGCTACCTACTTGAATCATAAACTTATAAGTATTTCAATGGGAAGTATTGGTCTGTTTTTGGCTAATGAGATGGTCGATATCCGGTTCCATATTTGTCACTGCTAGTCGTAGCAAGTGATGCAAGTGTTTATCAGTTAGTCTGGATCTGGTTGGAGATTTCAGATGTTTCATTCGGGGAAAAGTCTGTTCACAGACATAGGTGCTGCCAAAGATGGTTGCAATTTTGAGTGCATGGTTCCTGAGATTAAGAAATGTCTCAGAGGGGAGAGATGCATCAAAATTAGTGACGCTGCTTGATTTGATTACGTCTGATTGGGGGTTGCGGGGAATAAATGCGGAGGGCAAAAACCACAGACCTTGAGCTCCTGGGAGAAAAAATGTGGGATGAAAATTCAGTAACTGCTCAGTCCCGCTGGGGGGGGGGTGGATTCGGATGAACCCATACCCATTTTTTTCCCCAAAGCCTGCCTCCACCTGGGCTCCTCTTGGATGGCAGGCAGACGTTTACTTGTGAGCAGCCCAATGCTGAGGGGGATTCCTCGCAAGCAAGCTCACCTTGGATTTCAGCCCAGCCCCCCGAGCACTTTTCCCAGGACAGAAACTCGCTAGGATGATGGTGGCTGTCTTTTTCCTTGGACATAATCCCCAGCAGCCCCAATGGGAGCTTCCTCTTGAGTAAGCACCGGAGCCCTGCGTTCCTTGCAAGCAACCTTCTTCCCCCTTTCCCTGCCCTCCGTGCGTAGCTCACCATCAGTGTGGAGGCCACTGCAGGTGTAGGAGACAGAGGGCGAGCCTGGCTGGAGGAGGAGGAGGCTGGGACCTCCGAGCTGGACTGCAAGGACAACAGAGGCCGGGGCTGGATCGGGCGGCATGCCACAGCGGAGAAGGTGGAGCGCAGGGTGCAAGCGAGCAGCATGGTGGCTGGGATCGAGGGAGGTGGACATACGTGGGGAGAGGCAGGCCGGAAGGCAGGGCCAGGAGGGGGAAATCCTGACCTGCCTCTTTCCCTCCCACCTGCTCTGCTTAAAGGCATCATGGTTGCAAGCTCTGCAAAGCGCATTGAGTCTCCTCAACAGCTTTGCGGTGGGTTCTGCAATGACCAGATTTAGGAGCCTGGCAGGGGGTAGTTTGAGGACCCCGGTGTAGGCCATGCTACACATGCATTATAGCTTTTATATGCAGCACTCTATTAGAAACAATGTGCCTTTATTCCAGCATTGTCTGTATACAGCAAATTCACTGCCATATTATCCCATTTTAATAGCTTTCCTGAACTATTAACTAGTTTTTCTTCTAAGGCTTAAAGCCAAAACAAAGCAGCTCTTTATTTATTTATGGCATTTATATACCACACCTCATAAATATTCCAGGGTGGTTTACAATGCACTTCTATATCTACATTATACTAAAATTTCTATTTCATTTTCCCAGTCCAGTGGAGATGGCTTAAAGGGGCTAACGGTATATAGCAAACCACATCAAAAGCAAAAATAACCACAACCCCCCTCAACTGAAATACTCAAATAACATATGTAGACTGAAAACAGCACATAAGAGCCTTCATTCATGTCTCAATATGGCAGCAACTGCATCTTCCCATATAGTCTCTCTGAAGTTACTTCACTGTGGGCAACTAAACTGGGTGCACCTTCTAGCCTTTGAGAAGGGTTTACTTGCATAGGCCTTTGTGGCTAGAAGGCAGAAACCCAGGGCAGCAGCAAGGGGGAGAAGAACCAAGGTAAATGTAGCAGGTCATGTGCAACTGCCTCCCCAAGTGCAATACTGACTTAACATACAGAATGAAGTCTATCTCCTAACCCTAGCCTGCTCCTTAGCATGCACTTATTTCGTGTGGGGTGCTTGGAGTTGCCTCCGTGGGATACATGGTGCACTGCTGTCTCTTTGAGGTTCAACTTCCTCCTTTTTCTGTGCTCCCTCTTCTGAATATTTTTCAGTAATGTGAAGCTAAAATGTGTGATGAGACCCAATCACCATGGCAAGCTTGTGGAAGTGCATGGCTTTCTGCACGGAAGAGGTTTCAAGCAGCTTCTGTGTATTAGTCAGTTCATGAGAGGTGGCTCTTTGTTGGTCTGAGCGATAGTTGAGAAAGAAGTGCCAGTATACTCTGACACTACAATAATATTATTGCACTCCAGTGTTGTCAGTTGCATGAACTGTTTCCAGTTCCAGTTGGCCATATTAGGAACCAAAGTTGCAATCTGGATAAAAATGGAAAGTAACTATTAAAAGCACATCCTTAAGTGTCAGAGAGGCTTGCTGGTTCTGCTTTCCAGCTAAAGCAAACTGAATAATAAACCATGGTGAGCGGAAGAGTTATGTCAGCTGATAAAAGTTCAAGGGGTGGCAAAATAACAGCAACTTCCGTACTGCAGGATACGCATCTGCACAAGAAAAACTATACGTTTCATTGGGCTAAGGGTTGCACTTCTTAGTGCCAAGTGTTTGCAATATGCATGGCTATATTTTGTGAAAACAGTGTCCTTTGTAACCAAAGTAATATCAATTAAAATTAATTTTAAGTCTGTTTTCTCCTTTCCCCCCTTCCAGGTACAGTCTACTCTGCAGTATAGAGGCATTATGTACTCAGAGTGGAGGTCCCTACATCTTGTACTGCAAAATGATAAGGGTCACACCAGTGTACTTCACAGCTATCCTGACAATGTGGGGAGAGAAGTGGCAAATGCTGTTGTGCGTCCCCTTGGCCAAGTCTTAAATGCTCCATCGGCAGCTGGCAGTGAGAGTTTACTGAAAACAGACAAAGAAGTGAGTAGTTCCCCAGTTGAAGTACATATAGTCTCATCATTACAGGCATTTAAGAGACCCATTTGTTTAGAACAACCTTCTCATTTATAGTTTCTATGATGTTCTGGTTTGATTCGGTGCTGAAATAATTTTAAAGCTTTTTTCTTTCTTTTGTAAGACTGTGTGTTGCTTATATGGCTGTGTTTGTTGGTATTTTATTGTTAATTGCACTGTTCTTTTATAGTAGGGATGGGGAACCTGTGTCTTTCCAGAGGTTGCTGGACTACTTTTGTATCCCTGGCCGTTGGCCATACTGGCTGGTACTGAAGGGAGTCCAACACCATCTGAAGGACCAGGTTTGCAAGCTGTGCTGCATGGCAGTAATTTAGTTAGATGTAAAGGTAAAGGTACCCCTGCCCGTACGGGCCAGTCTTCTCAGACTCTAGGGTTGTGCGCTCATCTCACTCTAGAGGCCGGGAGCCGGCGCCGTCCGAAGACACTTCCGGGTCACGTAGCCAGTGTGACATCGCTGCTCTGGCAAGCCTGCACCAGCGCAGCACACGGAAAGCCGTTTACCTTCCCGCTATAAAGCGGTGCCTATTTATCTACTTGCACTTTAAGGGTGCTTTCGAACTGCTAGGTGGGCAGGAGCTGGGACCAAAAGATGGGAGCTCACCCCGCCGCGGGGATTCGAACCGCCGACCATGCGCTCGGCAAGCCCTAGGCGCTGAGGTTTTACCCACAGCACCACCCGCGTCCCCCAGTTAGATGTAGTGCTCATTATATTTGATATGTTGGAATTCGTCCTGTGAGTGTTTAACCATAAAAAGCGACATAAAAGTATATCTGATAAGTAGATTGGCTCAGGAACCCTGTGTACAAGCACCTTATCTCTCGCACAACACAAAGTGTGATCTTAGCATGAGCAACCTGGCTTGAATGTCAAGGTAACTTAACTTAAGGAAGTTAATGGAATCTACCTGATACTGGATGATTCTCCCAGCAGACTCCCATCTCATGTTATTTGGGAGAGTTCTACCTTCTTGAGAGGCTCTTTGAGGTCTTCAAGTATATGTGGTGTGAGAGGGTACAGGAAACTTCCATTTAGGCTACAATCCTGTACCCACTTAACTGTGAGCCCCCTTCAGCTGAGTGGGATTTACTCCTGAGTAGACATGTATAAGATCCAAAGTCAGGTGGATCTTAGAATCCAGGCCTACATGCCTTGGTATTTCCAGATTTAAAATAATACAGTTGTTAAGAGGATGAATTTTCTGTTATCTCTTACTGTGTATCCTTTGTATTTCCAGTGTTAACAGTGCTATGCCGTGGTTTCATTTGGAAGAGTTTACCAAATGGGTACACGTTAAAAATATGGTCATGTAACTTTCCACTTCTTCTTCTCTTAGGTAAAATGGACCATGGAGGTAGTTTGTTACGGACTGACCCTCCCTTTAGACGGTGATACTGTAAAGCACTGTGTTGACGTGTACACAGACTGGATAATGGCTCTGGTCTTTCCTAAGGACTCAATTCCTCTACCTGTTATTAAAGAACCAAACCTTTATATTCAGAGCATTCTCAAACATCTACAAAATCTATTTGTACCAAGGTGAGAGCAGTGGAGAGTGAATTATTTCATGTAGGCAACATGATTACAAGCCAAGTTTAATTGTAACCAGCAGACATTTATTTAGAAGTGTAGTTAAAAGAATTGTTGTTGTATTAACATGGAGGGTAAAAGAGGCCCATAATCTACTGTTTTGGAGGTTGGATTTTAACACTTGTGTGTTTAAGAAAGCATATGTCCATAATTTGCAGCTGCAAAAAAAGAGGACAAAAAGGATTTGAGAGGGTGCATGCTCTCTCTGGTGAAGATGTCAAAACTGGAATAAAAAGTTCATTTTGAAATTATCCAAATTTTATATGCGCTTATCTCTGTTGCTGGATTTTGTGCTAATTGAAGTTGAAGCTTATTTGTCTTTCCTTTTTCTTTTTGTTAACATTTAAATTTGCTGAGCAACAAAAAAGCAAAATGTATGTTTCTACTGCAGCAGGAATCCACGAACAGAGAAAAGAAAGCTGTCTGAGAATGTAAAATATTTATTCTGAAAATCTATACCCTACACATTTTGAAGTATTGGGAAGAGTCCCTGAAAAATAGTTTATCAACAACAATATTTTGTTACTCTCAAATATAATGGTCATCCACATTAATTCTTGCTTTGGGTACACTATAAGGGTGGAGGTAAGTGGGTTTTTATAGCCTTTCTGCTTTAAGTATGTGGATTAATCTCTGTCCTGAGCATTAGGCAATTTGAATACCATTGTCATGTGAACAGTATGAATGCACAGATGTACCGTATTTTTCGCCCTATAGGATGCACCGGCCCATAGGACGCACCTAGCTTTTTTGGGGGGAAATCCTGGAAAAAATTTTTATTTCCCCCCCAGGTTTGCGCAGCCATCCCCAAGCTAGAAGAGGGAGATGGAGCGCTCCGTCTCCCTCTTCTGCCTTCAGGGACAGCCTCTCTAGCCTCCGTGGGGCAGTGGCTTGCTTCTCTCCCCCCCCCCCCGCCAGCCTCCAGACCAGGTCCGGGAATAGCGGGGTGACGGCGCTCCGCCTCCCCGCTATCCCCTGAGCTTATGGGGCTGGCGATGGGGAGAAGCAAGCTTGCTTCTCCCCCGCCAGCCTCCAGACCAGGTCGGGGAATAGCGGGGTGACGGCGCTCCGCCTCCCCGCTATCCCCCGAGCTTATGGGGCTGGCGATGGGGAGAAGCAAGCTTGCTTCTCCCCCCCCCCCCCCGCCAGCCTTCAGATCAGGTCGGGGAATAGCGGGGTGGCGGCGCTCTGCCTCCCCACTATCCCCCGAGCTTGTGGGCTGCAGGCTGCTGCCCAGAAGCTTTGTGAGCCGGCGGGACCTCCCGCGGGCTTGCAAGGCTTGCGGATAGCTTCCTGAAGCCTGGAGAGCGAGAGGGGTCGGTGCGCACCGACCCCTCTCGCTCTCCAGGCTTCAGGGAAAGCCTGCATTCGCCCCATAGGACGCACACACATTTCCCCTTCATTTTTGGAGGGGAAAAATTGCGTCCTATAGGGCGAAAAATACGGTACTTGTGGTATGCAGAAGCACAGACCCTGCATTTTCCGTGTCTTCTGTACAGACTGCATGGCAGTTGGAATACCTAGGGCTGTTGGAATACCTAGGGCAGTTGGAATACCTAGTTTGTGTTCAGCCTGGTGGATTACAAACTATCCTGGTCTATTGTGAATTTAGATGTTTTGCAATTCTTTTGAAGATGAGTGGCTTTTCTAAGATTTTGTGAAGATAGTTTAGTTCCAGCTTCATTTAAAAACAATTCTTATTAGAGGTGCAAAACATCTGTTGTAAGAATGCCTCCAATCTCTTGTCTAATTTATTTTTGGCGGGGGGAAAGTACTCTGTTTATGCAGGCGTAAGTGATGTCTTTCTTCTTCTACAGGCAGGATCAGGGTACCAGTCAGATTAAACTATGTCTGCAAGTTTTGAAAGCTGTCCAGAAATTGGCTCGTGAGTCAAGCACTATGTCTAGAGAAACATGGGAGGTTTTATTATTGTTTCTACTACAAATTAATGATATTCTGCTGGCAGCTCCAACAGTGCAAGGTTTGGGTCTTTACCTTTTCCCCATAACTGTTTATAGTGTGTGGCTTTGGCCCGAGTGTGACAATTTAAGAGCCTTATCTTTTTTTCTTTCCTACCATTCAAAATTTAGAGGGACTATTGTCATGAAATGAATGGTGTTGAAATAATTATTGTCCAATTCTGATTCTGTTTAAATTCTTAATTTGGAATTGCTGCAGGAATTGAATGATACTTCCATTTCTATTCCCATTTGAAGCAGATGCCGCTTTTACTGACATGTTGTTGCTAAGGCCCTTTTACTACCTCTCGTTTATTCATTCAGAGATGCTCTAGGGCTAGGCAGTGATTTCTAGGCTTCAACACTGTCATGGGGAGTAGAGCCACCCCTGGCAAGCAGCCATCTTTTCTTGTAATGGTGAAGCTGAAGTAGCAGGCAGAGCTTGTGCCATCAGCTGTGCAGTGCTCTTCCCCAACTCCAAAAATGGGAGGAAAGATGAAGGTTGTTTGCCAGCTGCATGGCCAAGGCACCTGGAGAACCTTGACCATTCAGAGTCTAACGAGCAAAAAATCCCTCTTTCTGCTAAGTTGAATGTAGCCTAAAAGCTACTCAAGATGCCTTCAAACAGTGCACAGACCTGGCATACTGCCTTTCTGCATGCTTTTCCATGAGAAAAGGCAGAAAGGGCTTGCTGGGAGAGAAGGGGCACAGGGCTTGACAGGCAGGAGGCTGGTGGCTGCAACTTCTGTCTTGTCCAGCAAGAACCCTAGCACTGAGAAGCTGAGAAACTGCCCTGGCTGTGGATGCATCCACTTGTTACTGTTTTCTAATAAGTTTGCAATCTTTAGGCATAAATTAAGGTTGCCATATTTCATACCAGTGCTGCATTGTTTGGGAATTCATGTGTAAATTAAGATAGGATATTTCCCCCCACATCCATTCCCATATTTCATCTGGTTAGATTGTTCTTTCTTGTCTCCCAATTCTTAAATTTGAAATTCTTACGTTTTTAAGTGCATGAACATTCTAGAGTGTTCTTGATGTTCTCTATGATAGATCTTTAGCTGTGTTAACTTTTGCCATCTAATAATACATGAATTACTTATTTTAGATTAATATTTAAAAATAGGAATAGGTTTTGAGGTCATTATTCTTTTTAATCACAGAAATTCTACAAACTCAAGATAATTTTAACTTTACTTTTCCATTCAAATAATTTCACACTTTGCACATCAGCTCAGCTTATTTTGATAAGATCCCCAATATCCGATTGCTGTTTTTCTCCAAGGAATATTTGGAAATTTCTTCTTCAGTGATGATAAAAAGAAACCCCACAGGTATTTTTTTTTAGTCCTTTTCTCTGTTTTATTTCTTTCGTAGGCGGTATTGCTGAGAATTTGGCAGAGAAGCTGATTGGTGTGCTATTTGAAGTCTGGTTACTAGCCTGTTCCCGGTGCTTCCCCACACCGCCTTATTGGAAAACTGCCAAAGAGATGGTAGCAAACTGGAGGCATCATTCTGCCGTGGTGGAGCAATGGAGCAAAGTAATCTGCGCCCTTACAGCCAGGTAGCTGAAAACCTATTGCCTTTTTTTCATAGGTCAGCCTGCCACTGTACACCAATGTAGTTATTTCCATTTTTATGTAGTGTGTTTTAGTAGAATCTCTCCCTTCACCCTCAAAAATCTTTTGCTACAGAAAAGGGGGACTGCTTTTCACTCTCAGCTACCACACTTGACTGTGCCCCATGTATTAAAAATAAGTTTTAAACCTTGTTCTTGGACCTAGTTCTTACTGAGGAGGCAAAAACCTGTGCCTGGGAAGTAATACAGTGGTACCTCGTCGAGCGTCCGGGATCCATTCCGGAGCCCCGGATGCTCGACGAAAGAGACGCTCAACAGAGCGGTTTTGCACTTCTGCGCATGCACAAAGCAGCAAACCCAGAAGTAACCCGTTCCAGTATGTCTGGGTTTGCTGCGGACATCCGCCGAAATGGACAATCGAGGGGGCGGACGTTCGCAGAGGTATGACTGTATTTCAAAAATATAGGTCAGAGCTCCTATGATGGAATGCTCCACCATATATTTAAAAAGAATGCCTGCACATAGTAAATTGACATGTCAGGGAGAAGCCTGCATTCTGACTCGGGATTACCAGCTCAATGAGAGCTTGGCATCAGTGTCCTGTCCAGCTTGGAATGCATATCATTGTTGGTCAGTGAACTGAGGTGGAGAGAAGGGGCTCTTTGCAGTGTGCGTTTTTATTTTTATTTTTAAGGAAGACCTGAAATAGACCTAATCTATCTGATATTATTTTAATGAAAGGCAGTGGCTGAGAGAACACTCTCAACATTTTTGTTCTCCTTTGTTTCTGTTTAACATCCTGATCCAATGTGTGAACTCTTTGACAACTGACATAACCAGACAGTATTTGTTTCTGGTATAGCTGTTTCTTGTCTCTTTTGTATGTAGCAAATGGCAAGCTCTGTGTCTCCCTTGCACAAAACACTTCTTTGCACATATTTTGGTTTATCTGTTGTCCCTATTTGTATCTGGAGTTAGCTTTTTTTTTGGATGCGGGAACTGCAGCATTAATTCAACTCTTTATTAGGTTGAAAATGGCATACTTTCTGGGCAAACCACATGTCAAAAATGATAGAAAGAGCACAATTGTAATATCTCATGTTGATGGTTGGGGAATGGTTTAGGATGACACATGGGCTTCTCTCCACTGGCCCCCACCAGTGAGGTGGATTCCAACCTGAAGGAAGCCCCATGTTTCACCGTAGTGAGAGGGAAGCAGATATATCCAATGAAATATGGATGCAACGTTTATAATTAGGCAGAGTGAAATCATGCAGAACTACAAACTCACCGATAGTCTGACTTTTCCTCCAGATTGCTACGTTTTACATACGGGCCGTCGTTCCCACCTTTTAAAATCCCTGATGAAGATGCCAGTCTGATTCCTCCTGAAATGGATAATGAGTGTGTTGCCCAGACTTGGTTTCGCTTTTTACATATGCTGAGGTACTGTACATAACAAAAAGCATGCAATGTTACTAGCGTATTTATCAAAATTTGATACGTTATATATGTGAATGAGTCCTCTTGGGGGTGTGGTTTATTGGAATCAGATGCCCTAGTTGTGGAAGAGGTGTATAATATTGTGGCAGATAATGCTTCACAGGTGCCTGTGACAAGATCCAACTCATAGTAGGATCAGTTCCTAGATCTTTCTCTCTAGCTTCCATGTGATAGAGATACAGTAGTACCTCTACTTGCATTCACCTCCTTTGGGATACGTACGTGGCAAACCCAGAAGTATTTTTCTGGGTTTCGTCCCACGCGCATGTGCAAAAGCACTAAACCTCACCATGCGCAGAAGCAGCACCTCCGGTTGCGAATTCCTCGGGATGTGACCGGAGCTCTGGAACGGATCCCGTTCGCAACCAGAGGTACCACTGTATAGTCATTTTGGAATTTAGTACCTGATACTTGTTTGTCTTCAACTATTCTCCTGAACACCATGTATAGTTTTGCCCTTCAACATTTCACTCATGGCTTCAAATACTTTTCGTTTGCAATTCTGTATGCCCTCCATTTTGGTTCCCTTCAGATATTTAGCAGCTACACACACCGAGTAGCCTATTTTGATGTACCTTAGTGCTTCCTTGTCTCTTCAGTTGCATGGGGTCTTGCAATACTGTCTCATTTCATACTCCTCAGCTGGAGGCAAAGATCATGTGCCCCAGGGTAACTGCTGCTAATAGTACTTTTAATTTGCAAAAGACTTCAGCATTATTTTTTTGCTGGGTGTAGTTGATCACTGTTCTTATAAACAGATGCTGTCAGCTTCTTAAAGGTAGCTAAATAATAACAGGAAGTGGATACTTGTGAAATATTCGAAAGTGGCAAACATAGCACAGTGATTTGTCTATATTTTAATTGGTAGGTTTAATCTTAAAAAGGCTACTTGTTTTTTGACATCTCTAACTCTTAGCAGAGCTTTTTTTTAAAAAAGAACATTTTAAAATTTCAATATTTAGTGTATTTTACTTTTTACAAATGTGTTATGATTAAACAGAGTCTTTTCTCTCCCTTGTAGTAATCCTGTGGATTTGAGTAATCCAGCAATTATAAGCTCAACCCCCAAATTTCAGGAACAGTTCCTGAATGTGAGTGGAATGGCTCAGGAATTGAATCAGTATCCCTGCCTTAAACATCTGCCTCAAATATTCTTTCGTGCTATGCGTGGGATCAGTTGCTTAGTGGATGCATTTTTAGGTAACATTTTCTACTCTTAATTTATAGGATGTTACTTGCCTTTTGTAAGCAACTCAAATGGTTAATACTTTGTATTGGTACATCTAATATTTCAGATGTTTGTCTGCGGGGCTGTTTGTGTTAATCATTATTTTCTCCTTGTCATCTGTGCAGCAACTGTATTCTATTTTCATCAGTTGGGAACCAGTGACTTCTGGACCAAATTGAGCTCCCAGTTCTGGTAGCATCTGCCCCTCTCACCTATCCAACCCCACAATCACAAAATAGGTTTGGATGAACAGCTTTGGGGGCAATGAGGCCCTTGCAACAAGATATTGGGGTTTGATCTGCAACCTCCCCTATTCCCTTTTTGGAGTGGTCCCCAGCAAAATTAATTCCTAAATAGGGCTCCCATATCTTGTTTAGAGGTACTGAAAAGTAATTGATAATATGTTCAGCTAGATGCCTTAAAACTTGTCATGATTTCAACTTGTTACCTCCAACAGAATTTCATTTTCAGGAGTTTCTCAACAGTTGTGTTTGGTGTTAATTAAAACTGCCTATTCTTGTGAAACCATAAATGCTTTTACTAAATATTCATTTTCCTGAAAAACTGCTTTATGGAAATGTTTCCATTGCAGTACATAATATAGTAGCAATATAATTTCTTTTTTCTCCAGGAGTTGCTGTCTTTACAACCAGTGGGTGTGAAAGATTACCCAGATATGGTATTAAAACTTGTTGGACTCTCCTGGGTGACGAGAATCTGGGGGCAGGGGTGATGATTTTAACAGTGGTTGGGGTTTGCATCAAATCCTGGAAAGCTGCAGTATTCTGTCATGATAGAAATTTTCTATTAAATTGATGTGGTTCTTCTTAAAGACAATGCTTCAAAAGTTTCTAGTTCTGTTTTTAAAAGTGGTTGGCATACAGATGCTCTTGCAACAAAAAATCTGCTTGGTTGCAGCATTATGGGTTACGCATTTTAAATATGAACAGAAGGTTGGTCGTTTAAAAAATAACCACCACCCAAATTGTTAGTATCTCTTGCAATATGGTATAAGTCTCTCTCACTGTAACAAGCAGACATGTGCTATTTTAAAAATGTAACTTTAATACCTTGCCCATGATTAAATATGTGAGGTCTTGCAATTAAGGGGTTGAATCCAATGTAGTGCTAAGTAAGTCACTCTGTTAATGCAAGCATTTTGTGTAGATTTGGAAACAACCTGGGGGCAGCGGGTGGGGGAAGTCTGTTGCATAAATCCTTGCAATAATGGAACGTGTGCATTGGATACCACCCAACCTTTCTACTGAGATTTGTCTATATGCATATTTATGACACAGCCATGATGAAATGATCTCTGTCTTGAAGCTGGGCTGATGGATATTGGATTATGGAGAACTGATTATTTAATTTTTATACTGCTAAATATATTAAAAATATATCTATAAGCAGTGTACAAAAAACTGAAGCAACAACTGACAACTTAAAATACTACAAAAATACACAGTTACATATAAAAATGTTACATTAATATAAAGTTACTAATATATATATATAAATCAATATCTGTTCCTTTCCTTCCTAACACACCCTCCCTCTCAGCCTCCAGGTTCTCACCTAGAGCCCAAACAAACTCTCGGCTTACCCACAAAAGTCTCACAATGAGAAGAGTTCTTGGAAACAGTGAACAACGCCCTAGTCTCTTATTCTAGACTTGCTCTTTATGGGCAGGCCCAAGGTGGATGCCCACAGCTGTGTCCCATCCGCTGCATGCTCCACACCCAGTTCCAGGTATAGCAGGCCTTGTTGAGTTTTCCAGAGGGTCCACAGATAGGAAAAGCCCTCCCCGCTCACTCGAAGCTCTTTCTTTGTACTCTGTCCTGTCCTCCTCTTCCAGCTGCTGGAGAAGGTGGACTCTTTAAGAAAAGTACAGTAAACTGAACAGTGTGGTCCTTCTACTTTGAGGAATGCTGTTTAAAGCCTGTTGCAGTATGAGAGAGAGCGCTTCTTCTTAATTATGAGGAAACCGTATAATTCATATTAACATGGCCATTTAATTTTTTTAAATTTTTAATAACAAAGTCTGAATTCTTGGATGAATTGTTCCTCATAACAGAATACTGCTTCTTTGTTTATGAAATGTAGCACAGTTTCTTTTCAATTGTGCTAATCATTGTACCAAGGCAGATGGAAGAGTACTGCCAATCACACACTTGTAAATTGCCTCTGTCCTCTTATTATTATCCATTACTTAAGGTTGTTTTTTTCTGATATTCTGCTTGTCAGTGAAGAACTGTTGTATGAATAGCATGCACTTGTGAACTGAAAATATTATAGAACTGTGGGTATTTAACTAACCTGAGTCCTTCATGCATCATGAATATCGCTTACCTTGATGCAGATGCTTTATACTCCCCCATGAGTAAGACTGAAATGTTGAAAACAGAACAAAGAGGATAATTTGCCTGAGAGGGAGATGCAAGAGAGCACTGAGGCCTTGTTATGTAATGTTGCAATGCTATTTACACTTAGCTGGGAGTGTAGGATAGTATAGGTTTGGGGAATGTCAGGTTGGCAGTGGGCCTGTGATACGTGAGAATTCACCAAAATGAGAGATATGAAACTGCAGGACCCTTTTTAGTAGCTTTACCTTCTATACTAATCTCTGCTACTACAAATATCTGTCACCATTCCCTGTATGTGTACTTTTCTTACAATAAACGAGTGTAGAGGGCCCTCCAAAATATTAATAAGATCAACATTTGCCTTCCTATTAATTATTGTGAAAGAACTGTTTGAACTAATTGCCTCTCAAAGATGTATTGTTTTTACTGTCATTTTGCTTTCCAAAGGATTAAATGAGATATCCGGTGTAACGGTGGCACAAAAGAAATTAGCATTTGTGTTGTTTCACTAGTGATTTCTGTTTGTGCAAGCGGTTGCACAATCGCTTCTTTACCGAGTAGCACACAATAACGTTATAAACAATGTGCACTAGCAGTTAGTAGTATCTTTCAGAAGTAGAAATCGGCCATTTGATACACCAATTGCAGAAGGTTGAAAACAGGGCTTCCACTAGGGGCAGACAAACCAGGAACAGGGCTTAGACAAAGAGCTGCTAAGCCAAACTGTGTGTTAGTTCACAGCAACACAGTGGCAGCAGGACCAAAGCTCCAGGAATGCACATGTTTGCTTGTTAGCACTAAGCTATGGTTTGGCTTAACATTATGCCTGACTCAAGCTGGAGGCTTCTCTGGGAGAGATAAGCTGCGAGCCTGGATTAGGCATCATGCTGAGCCAAACTTGCAGCAAGACTAGATGAGGAGCAAATCTGTTGTAGTCTGCTCCCAAGGAACCTGCATGCTTGCTTGATAGCACTAAGCCACCGTTTGGCTTAAGCTTATATATCTTAGTTTAATGGAAAGAGATTTATCCTTTAAAAAAAAAATCAACTGCAGCCTGTTTCTGCTAGATCAAAATGAACTGACAGTCGCAATAACATGGCTGGAAAGAAAGTGGCTTTCAGGCGGCCTTTGTTCCTCTTTGCTTCCTGTTGGTCTTCTTATTCTTCCCACTTTTTAGGTGCAAATGTGCGTGTTGCTCCCTTTTGAAAGGTAAGCAGCAGTCTTGTATGTAGTTACCTAAATCCTTTCCTCGATCACTTTCCAATCTTAACTAAAAACTAATTTCAAAACAAGATATTTTTTAACACTGGTGCTGGTATGGGAGGAATTAATGCGTATGTGTGCGTTACTACTTTGCTGTTTAAATGCCCACTGCGTTGGATTTTAAAAGAACTTAATGCTGAGATTCCCTTTTTTCTTTCAGGTATTTCAAGGCCTCGGGCAGATAGTGCTCCGCCCACACCAGTAAATAGATTGAGCATGCCCCAGTCTACAGCTGTCAACACAACTCCACCTCACAACCGAAGGCATCGAGCTGTAACTGTAAATAAGCCAATGCTGAAAAACAGCACAGTGAGTATTTACGCTTAGTAAAGCAATGATTTTATATACAGTGGTACCTTGGGTTAAGTACTTAATTCGTTCCGGATTATTTGCCTGATCTTAACCTGAAACTGTTCTTAACCTGAAGCACCACTTTAGCTAATGGGGCCTCCTGCTGCCGCTGTGCCGCAGGAGCCCGATTTCTGTTCTTATCCTGAAGCAAAGTTCTTAACCTGAAGCACTATTTCTGGGTTAGCAGAGTCTGTAACCTGAAGCGTATGTAACCCGAGGTACCACTGTACTTTACGTAAGAGAAGATTGTGTTGTCAGACATGACTGAGTATATGACTTTTCAAAAATTATTCTCTAATTGGATTATTTCCATCTCTCATTCCAATAGGCTAACACCGCTCATGCTTCCAAAGTACAACACCAGCCATCTTCCACTTCTCCACTATCTAGCCCCAACCAGACTAGTTCTGAGCCTCGACCGCTTCCTGCTCCCCACAGGCCAAAAGTCAACAGTATATTGAACCTCTTTGGATCATGGCTATTTGATGCAGCCTTTGTTCACTGTAAACTTCATAATGGAATTAACAGAGACAGCAGTATGACTGGTAAATATTGCCTTTCCATTCTGTATACTCCCTTCCTCCTTTGCTGGCACTTCCTACCTGCAAGATTAACTCCTCTGGCTAACCAAAACAGAAATCTGACAAAGCAGCATGATTAACTGTTGTCCAATATCATGTTAACCTCTTGCTTTTCTATATAATATAGGAGCTAAAGTAGCTAATTTGTAGTTGGGTCAAATGTTACTGCAGAAACGAAATTTAAGATTTGCCCGCATGTTAGCCTGAAGAATATAATAAAGCCGAAGGAAGCATTAAAAAGCACCACTTTGGGAACAACTTCCCATACTTTCAATCACTTAAAGCAGTTCACTTTAAGTGATTCACTTAAAGTAGGGGTGGCAGGCAAGCATCATAACAGGACCTGCCTGCATTATTTGGTCTTTGTTTAACTTTACTTTTGAGAGATAATTAGTTTAGTTTTCATAAATGGCCCCACAGTGAAGCATGTGCATTCCAGTGGTTGGTCAAATACTTAAACTTCAAGGGTTCTGTAAGTTGTAGCTTTCAAATCTCCCTAACTACTGCACCAATTTCATTTTTTGTTTTCTCATTGTTTTCCTAATTTCCATTTTCGGAGCTATCCCTAGACACATGACAGGTGATCTCCAACTGAGATAAATGAGTTCATTGCAGCAAATGTGTTGTTGGGGTTCTTTGCAGGAAACAAAAAGGCTTGTCATCACGATCATATTATGCCAAAGTTGAATTCCTTGTTGCTCTGCCATGAAATGTTCTATCTGAATAAGATAATTCATAATAGCAAGGACTAGTGGTAAAGGTGGGGTTTCAAGTCTAGCTAGTTTACATAACTTTCGTTAACATCTTACAGCCTGTCTGTTCCCACGTGTGTAGAAAATATATGTCTGTCCTGGTGAATGGCATGTGTAGACCCAAGAAGCTTTTGTAGAGAATGAATTCCAGTATTCCACAGAGCTTGCACAAGGGCAACTCAGTTGCCTTTAGGAAATCAAAGCAAACCCACATATTACATCCTCTAGAGTTGTCTGCTTAACCATATAGATTTAATAGAAATCATATACAACTACGAATTACTAACTATTGGGTTGAAAGAAAAATTACATCTCTAAAATTTCACATGTTGATCTATTATTCTCTCTCTTTTGAGGTCTTGAGGCTTATTTAAAAGTGTTATAAAACGCTTTTGCAAGTGTTTGATCCTATGATGAAAATATAAAACAATTATTGAGTGCAAATCTCAGCATTGCATTAGCCAATATCACTTTAGTTTGCTTTCCTAGTGCTCAGATTATATTGAGAAATCTGGCTTTAGGGAGGCATGTTGAGTATTGAGAGCCATGTTGTCTTTTCTATGTATTGGCCATTTTTCATTACTTCATCTCCACTTTGTAGTCTTGCATCTCCTTAGTTCTTAGATAAGGGGCTCGGGTCCAGTGGTAGACCCCATGCTTTATTATTTGTTTGTTTCAATTTGTATGCCGCTTTTCCATATAAATGTGCCCAGGGCCACTCACAATATGGCAACAAAAAACCTCCAAATCAATACATCATTCAGTAATACTCTAAATGCAAATTCACTTCCAAAAAAAATATGACAGCCCAAATGATTCAGCTTGATAATACGGATATTATAATATTTTAAATTCATTATAGAATAAATTATAAATCATTAAGGCAAGTAAATTGATACCAGGAAGTTAAAACATATAAAGCAGAATGATGAACATTTCCAGTAGTTAGTACACGGCAGTGCTAGTAAATAAAGTGCATATTTTTTTTTCTATAGAGTGCACATTGTACCTAGCAGCTTGGTCATATTCTCTTAAAGTGCACAAAGATCACTTCTCATTCATCCTTGCAGGGAGCCACAATTTTGTTGATAACAGATGGCTTCAATCACCTCTTTCAGTCCGGCTTCTCACCCCCAAACTACCATTAAAGCCATCAGAAAAGCACAGAAATTTAGACTGTGTATATGAAGCACACCTCTTACTTGGGGGGGGGGCACACCCAGCATTCCTCCCTTTCCTGTCCGAAAGAATGAGATCTGTATCTAACAAAACAATGAGAGTGCTCACCCACTGCCTTCTGAGGCTTCCCATACTTCTGGCTTCATATAAAACAAAACAACAACATAGGCGTATATACTGCTGTGATGCCCAAAGGGAGACTTGTGACCTTCCAAGGCCCCCCCTAAATTTGTCCATTAAAAAAGCTTTTTAAAAAAAATTAACAGACCAATTCCACGGTCCCCTGCTGTGATTCTGTAATGCCAATTTTGGGGGGAGAACTTCCCAAGACCATAATATTAATAATAAATTTTTAAAAATTGTCCACAGCCACTCCTACACTTTGGTCACACACACTTTTGGACTTTGTCCATGCCATCTCCCTTTATAATTGAAACATTACTTTGTTCCAATATTTTGATCTAGTGAGAGTTTTGTGTCTTTCCCCCCTGCAGAATTGCAGTGGAAAACTTGAGTGTTTCATCACTTTGCAGTGTTACCTGTCTACCCATTGGCATAATCACGTACTATTTGGAATAAGCTTTCCCCCTTCAGTGTAGCCACTATTTTATTTTATTTTAATTGCTTCAAGGATTCTTTGTCATTTGACCCTTCAGCAGTAGACTAGAAAATGAATCATGCATTGATGAAAAAAAATTCCCTGATGTTGATGTCTTTTTGTAACCCTTGCATCTGAATAGACAAGCAGTTGTGGCCAATGCAAAGCGAGCAGTTGCTTAAAAGAAGCATTGGTCTTTTGCTGTAGCAGGTGTAGAAGGGCAATTCAAAACACCTCCGCAGTAGAATATGGAAGGTACCTGTTGACAGCAGCTACAGATTGCAGAACCCTTGAAGAAACAGAGGAAGAGCCCTCGCTTTCTATCTGAATTATTCTCATATTCTTAAGGGTTGCAGGGAACCCTTTGATAGAATGCAGAGAAACTAGGTGGCCATTCACACAATATTTGAAGCCAGGTGGGATAGGGTGGGGTCTGGGGGAGAGAAGCTGTGACCCAGATGTTGGAATGTAATTCCCATCATCCCTGCCTGATAGACATGCTGGTTGGGGGCTGATAGGAGTTAGAATCCAACAATTTCCATCCATGTGGGAACTGCTTTGTACAAAGTTATTTGGGATTCATTTAAAGCAAGCAATGGGTTGTAGCAGGCTAGGTTTTACTCATAGTAGAACCATTGAAATCAATGGACCTAAATTAGCTATGTCTATTAATTTCTGAACAGGGCTAACATTGAATTCAACTCAACACCTCTCCACTCCCACATGAATCCCTTTTCATATTGGTGACACTACAATGGGAAAAAAATCTTCCAATGCCATCTACAAAGCCAAGCAAGGCACTTGGCTGTTTTTATACTAAGAAACTAGCAGGCTGAAACAACGAGTTTCTAAGATTATTTGCAATCTTCTAGCTTTCCCTTTTCCACAAAGTGAGGATAAGCCTGAGTTCCATTCTACCCTGTACTTCTTTTGACTAAAAGGAAATGATTGGGCCATCTTGAAGGTCTTCCTGTATGGAAATTTCAGATAAGTAATGTGTGGGATGATCAGACAGTGGTGAGCTGGTTACTTGTATTTTTTTCTCCTCCACCCCCAATGATTTCCTTCTAGTGCAGATTTTCAGCTGGTGGTATATGAAATAAAGCAAAATACTGCCTGAATTGTGAAGGGGCAATATTTCTACTACAAATATTGAATGTACATTAATATAGATACCTAACCCTTACAGCAGTATATTTTTTCTAACTTTTGTTCATTGTTCTGCATGAAATCATAATTTTAGACCCTAATGCTAATTTCCTGTGTGTTTAACAAGCCTACTAGATCATAAGCTTTGAATCAGTTTTTCAAAAACCTAAAAAGCTGCTTAACTTGTTGTTACAGTTTCACCATCTTTAAAGTATTTTATAACTACTGCTGTCCTTTGATTTGTTTCCATTTTATTTCTATTATCTTGCAGCATCTTTTATCCAAATTCTTCTTTCTTATAAATCTTGTAAGTAGGAACTAGTAGCTTCTCTTTAATTGCAGTCATTTTTTTATTTTTTCCATAATCCCATTTTTTTTTTAATTTTTATCATCATCATCCCTTGTAGCTTTTGCTCTTTACATGGGAAAGACAAATAACTGTGTGTGGCTTTTTAAATGGGGAAGATTGTTGGCAAAAGCAAATTAATCTGCCTGAATCAGTCCCATCATTTTCTGTACTCTAGTCTGTGATCATGTCATGAATTTAAGGACTTTGCACTAACCGTGTTCTTTTCTTAAAGCTTATTTTTATACAGAACTAGTATTTTGATTTGTATGCATTTTGCATGTAGTTCCCCCCCCTAATTATAATAATTTGCTGGATAGTTTATTCAGGACAAAAATGGCTCATGGGAAGACGCATAAAGATTTGGGCTTAGCTTTATAAAAAAAAGATTTTTTTTATTTAAAAAAAATCAGTGAAGAATTTTTTTTAAAAAACAATACATCTGACCTTGGCATGCTTCTAAATTGTCAATCTGTAAAATTTGTAACATCCAACAAAATCATGAGCAGAGCTTCTGTTTGTAAGACTAGCTGATTTAGGCTGCAATCCTATGCACACTTACTTGCGAGCAAGTCTGATTTGAATTCAGCAAGACTTCCTTTTGAGTAAACATGCTTAGGATCAGACTGCAAATGACTTGTGCCCGGAGTTCCCTTAATAGCGTAGGCTTGTTCTTACTTAGTTGCTTTAGGATTGGTGGAATTAAGTCTCTTGAATGTCGATCCAATTTTATAGTTCACCTTCTCTAGAAATTTCAAAGCAGCTTTCAGAAATCGGGCAAACCACTATGGAAATGACATTCTTCTTGACCACTTCCTCCTATCTGGCTGGCAATGAGAATTTTTTTGCATAGGGCATCACTGACAATATAGGATTATAAATGTATGAAACTAGACTTTTGTTGAGGAAAAGATAGTCAGAGCTTCCGGGTGGATTTTAAAATAAATTGATTGTGTCTTGTCTTTAACCCAAAGAGATTCAGGCCCAGCTTCCATATATGCGCAGGAGCTTCCATCTTTGCCTCTTAGCTTCTGAGGTCCCATTTTTCCACCATCACCCCTTGTGCTTCTCACAAAAAGGAATCCAGAAGGTGGCAGGGCTATGGAGCAGTCTCTGATAGAGCGTGAAGATCTGTAGACCAAAAGGGGACATCTTTATATGAATGTGGAGGGCAGCGGCATTTTCTGTAGGGCTGTGGATCCTAACCCTTCTTCCTGAATAGCACACCCTGCTCATTGGTGATGGTCCCTTTTAGGGTTTTTTTGTTTTTGTTTTAAGCAGCGTGAGAGGGAAAAGTTCTGAAGTCAACCACCCATTATTTTCTTTTCCCAAACACGGTTTTCGTTATAATTTGGCCTATGCCTTAAACTCACGAAATTGCAGTCTTAGTTTCTGTAGCACAGATGGTACCTAGAGTTAGCTTCATGGCGGTGTCAAAAGATGAAGGGAGATCACTAGGGCATTAAGATCGATTTGTGCTATTGAAAGCGTAGACCTAGCTTTTCGAATGGCAAAGAATTTATGGAGCAGGCTAGGAAAATGAGTGGCCTAGACCTGAAAAAATTATTAGGGACTCTATTGAGGAACCTCCTTGTTTAATGCATGTCGCTGGGAATGTGAATGGAGTCGAGGCTTCTGTGCTTGGCAGCATGGATTGTGCAGCATAGAATACTGTGGGAAGAGATGATTACACTTGTGCGTGGAGATTAAAGGGATAAAATTTCTCACTTCTTACTGAAGTAGTCAAATGATCCCTAAATGCTTTATAAACAGAGGCAGCAACTCAAATGCAATGAACTAGTGGCTTTTATGATGACTACATTTTACTTGATCTTTGTGTCCCAGATCCCATGAGCCTATTGAGTATGTTGACCAATATAATGAAACGCTGTGCTTCTCGTTTTGTTTTAGCTATAGCAACACAAGCTAGTGTGGAGTTTCGCCGGAAAGGATCACAAATGTCTGCAGACGCTATGACATCCAATCCCATGTTTGATGCAGGCGAGTTTTCAGACAACTATGAATCGGGCAGAGCAGAGGCATGTGGAACACTTTGTAGGATATTTTGTAGCAAAAAGACTGGGGAGGATATACTGCCAGCCTACTTATCCCGGTAATTATTTAATCTTAATTATCTTCTCAGAAGCCCTGTTCAGGGGAACTGTTCCCTCAGTCTGTCAGCGCATGACATCTGCCAATTAGTTCCGCCCTTGACATCACACACTTGAGGTAGCTTGGCTCCTGGCATTTGTGCATACAGGAAGTACATCTGCAGGGCGAGAGTACTTGCCAAAGGCTCTCTCCTTGCAGAAGTTTGCATTGTACTTGCAGATGCCAGAGGACAAGGCTAGCAAGGATGTATGATGATGTGGGCAGAGCCAGTTGGCACGGCCCTCCTTGCTCATGGATTGAACACATGAGCAGTTCACCTGAGTAGGGCTCAAATGTGCTGCTGAGTATCTGTGTTAGATAAGGGGGTTCTACAACTTTAGAGGGACGCGGGTGGCGCTGTGGGTAAAACCTCAGTGCCTAGGACTTGCCGATCGTATGGTTGGTGGTTCGAATCCCCGCGGCGGGGTGAGCTCCCGTCGTTCGGTCCCAGCTCCTGCCCACCTAGCAGTTCGAAAGCACCTCTAAGTGCAAGTAGATAAATAGGTACCGCTTTATAGCGGGAAGGTAAACGGCGTTCCGTGTGCTGCGCTGGCTCGCCAGATGCAGCTTTGTCACGCTGGCCACGTGACCCGGAAGTGTCTCCGGACAGCGCTGGCCCCCGGCCTCTTAAGTGAGATGGGCGCGCAACCCCAGAGTCTGTCACGACTGGCCCGTACGGGCAGGGGTACCTTTACCTTTACAACTTTTGAAAGCTCCTTTGTGCCCAAATGTTCAGGGTTGTATCAATCCTAAGTAGGAGACCCATTGAAATTAATGAGTCTCCCCAGTTTAGAGTGAATAAATAAAACAAATCTGGCCAATCATATGTTTGTAGGATAAGTTACTGTCCTTGCCATTTAGATATAATCAGTCAGAGGGGCTGAATAGAAGAGGTTACTTCACAGGTTCCATTTTTTCCCCAAGGTGATGAAAATACAGTATTTCACCCACAATGCGCTTTTTTTCTACCTATGGTAGAACTTTAATATGCTGAATGTATACTTGGAAACTTTTAATATAAGGGAAATGGAGCAAATAGAAACACCTTGATCATTATGTTTCAACAGCTGTATTGGACAGTGGAAGAGAGTGGGTACAATGCGGCTCATCATGATAATTGCCTTTATCTTTATATGCATTTAAATACAGAAGCCCATGTTCCTTTTTTTATGTCACTTGGAGAGAATGTTCAACTAAAAGCAAGCAATGCATCCTTTATTTGAAACATTAAAATGTTGGGTACAGCTAAGTCATGGGTGACACTAGTAAGGCAGAACTTCATATTGAGCTTCCTTCCTATTTTCCATATAATTTTGAGCAAAATGCTGCGGCATCATATTGTATATTTCCCCCCGTTCTGTATTGCATGGAATACTATGTTTGGGTAACTGTGTCTCGGAAAGAATATTGTAGAACTGTAAAAGGTGCAATCAAAATTATTAGAGGGCTGGAGCAACTCCCCTGTGAGGAAAGCTCAGAGTGTTTGGGCCTTTTCAATTAAGGAAATTTCTTCGATGTCTGAAGATTATTTACACTACTCCAAAATGTTAGAGAGATTCCCATTATACCCCTGAGAACTGAATGACATTTTGGTACAGAATAAGTAATCAAAATGTCTAAAGGACATTAATTGTGCTGTTCAGCCTGTGTCTTTGCTTAAACAGACAAGGTGACAGATATTGTTATATCCACCTGAAAATGCTTCTGTGCTTCTGACCCAGTCCCAATAGCATTGGATTACAAATGTTTTCTTTCTTACAACTCATTAAGCCTGTCTTTCTCTGCCAGATTTTACATGCTTTTAATTCAGGGTTTGCAGATAGCGGATTCCGTTTGCCATCCGGTGCTGGCTAGCGTTATTCTAAACTCTCCTGCGTTATTCTGCTGTGACCTGAAAGGGATTGATGTCTTAGTTCCATACTTTATTTCAGCCATGGAAACTATATTACCTGATAGGTAATTATATATATATATATAATTTCATTTTTCTGTTTTGTCTTAGTAAGTGAGAGAGAGTGAGAGAGCCTGTCTATGTGGCCTTAAGAAATTGTCTAATGTCAGTTTGCTTTTATGTGTTCCCACTTTCTGCTTCATTGACCATGCTGTGAGCGTTCCTATTTTCAAGAAATAGACAGGTAGCCTTGGGAATCAGATTAGCTTTAAGCCATACAAGTGCTGCAACAGACCACATGCATCTTGCCCATGTAACAGTGCAGAGCTTTGAAACATATTCAGATTCTGAGGGAATGTTAACTGTTTTAATTCCAAGTTGGGGTTCTTGTTTTTAGCTTTAGGCATAAGTGCTGCAATCCCCTATGTTGCTTTCTGCTTATGAATTCTTACAATAAAGTGAACACACTGGGCTCTTAGGCAAAGCCAGCGCTACCAGGACATCAGAAAACCCTGATGCACACACTGACTGTTTATGACATAGGTGAAATTTGCACAGAAGCTGCTGTCCTTTAAAATAGGGTGGTTTTTGCTTTGAAATTGAATGTGTTGGTGGCGATTTTGTTTAAAAACTGTGTTTTGTCTTCAGGGAACTGTCAAAATTTAAAACATTCGTGAATCCTACAGAATTAAGAAGAGCCTCTATCAATATCTTACTCTCCTTGTTGCCACTTCCCCATCATTTTGGAACCATAAAATCAGAGGTAATGAATTAGTTTTTCAGTGACAATTTATATAGTTTTAACTTGGGCATAATGTATGCTTGTACTTTCAAATCAACAGTTAGGATGAATTACTTCTGCAATGATGTTGATTTTTTTAAAACTTCACTGCTGTTGTATAGAAAAAAAAGAAAGAAATTCACAGAATGGGTAATTATTTGTGGTCTTAACATAAGAGTTCTTGCAGCAGTGAACATATGCTTACAAAGGAACATTTCAGGATTTGAAAAAGTGTATATTACACTGTTACAATCATTTCTAGTAGAGAGCTGATATGACTGGCAGTAACACTACAATAGGACTCAGGCTAAAATCTATGTTTGTTGGGCATAAATCAGGTTTGTTGAGTGAGAAAATTGTGTTATACGTCATTGATTTGCTGGTTTCATTTTGCTAGAGTTGAATCAAGTCCAATTTTGCAGCCTATTTAAGGGCTCCATTTAGCATTCTTCCTGTGTCAAGTTTTCCGCTTCATTTCTTTTTTGGGTGGGGCATATATTAGAAAAATTAGATGGGACTAAAGTAGATATTTGTTAAATTTGTAAAGGGTCACTAAGAATACATGGTAGTACTGCTAGTGCTAATTCATGCATATGACTACAGATTATAAAAACCATTTATTATTTTTCAGGTTGTTCTGGAAGGAAAATTCAGCAACGATGAGAGCTCATCCTATGATAAACCAGTAACTTTCCTTTCCTTGAAACTGAGGCTTGTGAATATACTAATAGGAGCACTGCAGACAGAAACGGATCCCAACAACACACAGATGATACTAGGTTGGTGTTTCTACTTGATCTGTGGGATGTGCATTTGAAAATGTGCATGCCCTTGGTAGTTTATAGTTTACAGTAGCCTTACCTGAATGGTGTCACATTCCAGTGGCAGGAGGCAGAATTTACGAGCGCAGAGAGAAAAACCGCAGCCAACCAAAGCTTCCATGGTTGAAGGAAACAGCAGAATGCATCATAGTGGGGCAAGCCATGGAACTGATTAAGAGGCAGATACAGTAAGAAGTGGCCAGGAAGCAGAGAGGGGAATGGCCTGGATGTGGCTTCACTCCCTGAGAATAATCCAGACCAAGAGAGTGCCACAAATATTGGAGTTGGTGCCAAACAGTGCTACACGATTAGCTCTTCTGGATCATGTTATTCCTGGGATCAGAAGAATATTCAAGGATTTTGCCCTTAACCTCCAAGGGGGTGCTCTTCATGTAAATGTTCTAGCCCTACAATAATTTAGCAAGTATTTTAGCAATGACTCCTGTCAGTGTAAGGACCATTGCTATGTGAAAAAGAAAAAAAAATCAAAAGACATGTGTAGAAGATATTGCATGTTCTGCAGCGGGGGCAGAACTCTTGGCACTTTTGGACAATGGCTTTGCAAACATATTACTGAGCCGAGGGAATAATTTGGCTTATGGTATGGTATTGGTAGGGACGCAGGTGGTGCTGTGGGTTAAACCACACAGCCTAGGACTTGCTGATCAGAAGGTTGGTGGTTCGAATTCCCGTGACAGGGTGAGCTCCTGTTGCTTGGTCCTTGCTCCTGCCAACCTAACAGTTCGAAAGCACGTCAAAATGCAAGTAGATAAATAGGTATCGCTCTGGCGGGAAGGTAAACGGCGTTTCCGTGTGCTGCTCTGGTTCACCAGAAGCGGCTTAGTCATGCTGGCCCCATGACCCCGAAGCTGTACGCTGGCTCCCTCGGCCAATAAAGCGAGATGAGCGCCGCAACCCCAGAGTCGTCCGCGACTGGACCTAATGGTCAGGGGTCCCTTTACCTTTACGTTATGGTATTGGTATGGTGGCCGGGGACAAGTTCTAGAACCAATAGCATTCTAGTTCAGCCTTATTTTACAAGGCTCACCTGTTTTGCCTTTAAAACTGAACACCATATTTTTCTGAGAACTCTATAGTTTTAGCTCTCATTGATTACGTTCTTGTGTTAATGTATGCCATTCTCTGTCTCTTTTGTTTTATCTAGTTCTGTATTTCTGGGGAAATCTTCAAAGCTGCCTTTTGCTTTTGGCTTATAATGTTCATTTAAATTATATCACTGGGTTAAATTCAAAGCATATAGATAGGTTTGCAACTTCTGCTGCAACATTCTGCATTATAATTTGCATTCTCCAGGTGCCATCCTTATATAGGCAGGAAGGCACCATCCATACACAAAAGGGAGGTATCAACAGGCTTATTGCAGCTGTTCACCCCTAAAAAAACCACAAACCCTTAAGGAGGAACTCCGAAACAGCCCAAGGAAGACTGAACATGCTCAGAGCAAGCAGAAGTAAAATGTGGGGGTGGAATGGAGTATCTTAGAGGGCATGGGTGGATGACCGGAATACTAAACTGGTGCATCCCATTCTGCAACATTTTGTTTTAGGACTGCTTTGTATCACTAGATTTTTTTTCCCTTTCCTTATGCTCTAAATTTGTAGTAGCACATAAATGTCTGATCTTTTCAGAACATTCCCTCTGGGCTTTCACTGCAGTGACTTATTTTTAATGCAATCTGAATAAGAATTTTAGTGGAGTTTTTGCAGAACACTCTGGCCTTCATCTTAAATGTAGTGAGACCTCAAAGGAATTGAAGGGGTGATGACTGCAATAAGTCATACTCAGCAGGTTTATTCTAACACTGGATTTCATCCAAAAGTGTCTCTTCATCAGCTAAGGTGGAATTTAAGTAAGTGGAAAGGAAGTTTTATAGAAATTTAGTTGAAAGCAAGTTTGTTTAGGGCCAGATTCAACTACTTGGTTCCATAAGTGGAAGCCAGCACAAGGTCTCCTCCTCTCCTCCCCTGCAGCCCTTCCTCCCCCAAGCCTCTCCCAAATCCATTCTAGGAAGTTGGGAGAATGGAACTGATGAGACAATCTCCTTAGTGCTACATTTTATTCTACCCTTAGACTTGTATTATGACATAAAATTTGGATCATGATTGTTAGCTATCCTAGATCAGTATCCAGTTAATGCATCCTGTTAGCGGAAGGATTTCCAGTTGTGCAATGGGACCTTCCCCCTTCCTCTCTTGCCTGCAGCCTGTAGGATTGGGGGAAACTGTAGAACAGTTTTAGCTAAGGTTGAGGGGTTCCACTACACATGGAGAAATCCTTCTGCTGATGGACTGTGACTTACTAATGCTTTGCATACAATCCCAAGTGTTAGGTATACCTATATTATTTTTAACCTACTTAGAAAAATGTTAAGATGATAAAATGTGGAACAGTTGTAGTGTAGAAACAGCAAAATATAATTTGAAATATAATTTTACAATTCTTTCCAAGTTGTTATTTACTATTTCCAAAAATAGAGATCATAGCCCTCCTGTTGCAGGGTGGGGATGGGTGTTACTTGATGGATTTTCACAAAAAGATGAGGTGGGTGTCCAGTACTACTAAAATACCAATTTGCAAGATGAAACAGGATTTTACCAAAATTTGAGGTTATTCTCACAAAATTCAAAGAAGAGTGTTCACACGTATATCATTGCCCTTGGATATATTGGTATAAGGGGTGTTTTTTAAAAAATTGTACATACTTTAAATATAAAATTCTATCATTTTTAACTGTACAGGTGCAATGCTGAACATCGTGCAAGATTCTGCACTCCTAGAAGCCATCGGCTGCCAGATGGAGACGGTAAGATGGGTTGTTCTCCTTGTTTTGGAAAAGGGTGCCAGATTCCTTGTTGAGTTACATCAGGTTATCGCATAGCCAGAGCACAAAGGATGCCTGACTCAGTTGTGGGAGGGTAATCTTCAGCCCTTCAACAGCCTGTTTTCTAACTTGACAGAATGGCGGCGAGAATACTGTCTTGAAGAGCCACAGTCGCACTAACAGCGGCATTAGCACAGCAAGTGGAGGAAGCACAGAGCCCACTACTCCTGACAGTGAGAGACCAGCGCAGGCTCTGTTAAGGGATTATGGTAAGGAATTGAACTTCTTAAACATTTGCATTCATGCCCTGCTATGCAGTTTCCATTTTTTTTAAAAAAATTTTTTTTAATGCTAAGGAGATTTCCATTTGAAATAATGTAGATAGCTTGTAGTCCTTAATAATATAAAAAGTAAGAGAAAGAGTGTAATAGATGCTTTATTATGAACCAGCAAAATCATGATGATGGGTTAGTGAGGAAGGATTATGGATAGCAGTGGGAGTGCTGGGAGCATTCCAACTCTTTATTTAGTCAACCCACCAGTTCCCTTGCTGCAGCTTTTCTGTTCCTTCACCTCAATCCCAGGGACTGCCACCACTGCTTTCTCATAGACTAAAAGCCTTCAAGATACTGCCTGATAACACAGGATGTAGTTTGGTTTCTCTGAGATGATGCCATTATCCGTGACCTCTTCTGCTCAGCTGCTCCTGTGTCGGAGCACTCTGACCCCATTGCAACTTCAGGGAAGATAAAACTGAATATATCATGTGGTGTCCCAGTTCTTCATTGTTGCTTCAGTTTCATGCACTTTTTATGTTTCCTTCTAACGAGGGCTGATTACGGAGTGTCGGCTAATTGTTGTATGCCATGTTCTAGCGCTCCAGTTTTGTGCCTGCTACAGATGTTAAAAAGCAGTGTCCTGCAATTAAAAATCTGCTACAAAAAGCGGGAGAGCAGTATAGTATTTGTTTCATCTGCAGCAGTTTTATACGTCTTTCTTCAGCAGTTGAGTTTAACCTGAAATGTCTGTTGTGACATGAAATGCTTCTGTTTCACACACTTAACCCAGTTTGCTGTGAGATGCTGCTGTTTTATGGTTTGTCGTATATGTGCCTGGGGTTCATAGTGACTACCCAGCTGTCTGGATTTATACATGTCTGGATTTGATAAACCAAAGAGCTCAGTCAAGTGAGGGTTTGAAGCAACCTTGGTGGGTGAAGGCAGGAGACCTCAGACAATCAACTTCCCAGAAAACACAATAGGAGCCTACATTCAAAGTTTAAAGGGAGGAAATTGGCAAACAGGCAGTTCTCCTTCCTCTACACGGAAGATTCCTCACCAATTTTACTTGGCAGAAACCTGCCTTAGGGATACCACCTTTCTTAAGAGCAGCAACCTGTCTCAGCTACTTAAATATTTAAATGGCTCACTCGTGCCACTGCCTGTCCTTAACAGGCAGAAAACTAGCACCCAGATAAAGTACCAGGTAGGTTATTGAAACACAGGCAGTTGAAGGTCCAGGTAGGCTCTTCAGAGAGTTTCCCGGATTGTACCTTTCTTGAAGCAATGCAACATGTAAGCTGTTTTTGAACCCAGTTTGATTTTGAACTGGATGCTTTAATGAAGTGACATTGCCAGTCCATTAATTAAAACCCACACAGGCTGCTTGAAACTGGTTATTTGGCTTAGAAATATGGAGATAATCATGATCAATTGACCCAGTTTTGGACATTCAGCTAAATTGTTGTTGTTGTTGTTTACTACTACTACTACTACTACTACTACTACTACTACTATGTGGTTTTTCACCCAAAGGTCTCCAAGTGACTCACAGCAAAGAAAAAATTATAATGCATAATGCAATAGGGAAAAGGAGGGGGGAGAATCAAATAATACATGATTTTCACATCATGAGCTAACGACATGTTAAATGGAAATGAATCTCAACAGTGTTTTTAAAAAGCAGTGAAGCTTTAGGCAAGGGAAACTTCAGAGTAGAGAAACAGCAGGGTTCTTTCCTAGTCCTTTCCTTGCCCATAATTTATCCGTTGAGGAGGGAAGGGCTTAGTAAAGCTATTCCAGAGAACCGATTTGGAGCAGATAGACAGGATAAAGCTCACTCATTTCTGCTATAGAGATCCCTCTCTCAGAATTGCTTGGCTTTGCATCAGAACCAGGTCTGTGGATATATAGTTAATGAATAATATTATTTGTATAGCCCCTTTTCTCTTCAGATCAATTAATACAACCAAACAACAACAACATTCATTTTGGAATTCAGTTCCATTGTGATTCCCCCCCCCTATCTTTTTTTTTGTATTTTTGAGCCTAAGCTTATCCTTCCAATAATTTTTTGAAACACTTAATTCTAACTTGCAGTTTAGGAAGATCAGTTGTCTAGAATTTTATTGTTCTATCCTGAGGGCAGAATTCACATGCTGTAGCACCACATATTGAATGGACAAAGATAAAGATAATGTATTTCCCTTTCTAAATTTTCATGTAACAAATTTCTGGCTGTAATTAATTGAAATGCTGTATAAAACTGTAACAAATTGGTTTCCACAAGAGATCTGATTTATCAACATTTATAAAGTGACATTTCCCAGCAGTATTTTACAGCATCAGATACTTTGTTTTCAAGTATGAAGTTCACTCTGACATGTTTAAGTGTCTCTCTTACCAAACAGCAGCGGCCTTAAAGTGCATCTGCAGCTGGCAAAACCTGCTGGATTAACATAGGGAAAACAATGTTTTGGAGACATCAGCCTCTGTGTTCCCAAAGATTTCTTTATTAATTTCTCAAAACCAAACAAAACCCACATACCTAAATCAGTAAATAGCTTCTTTAGTTGACATTCATAGCCTAAAGAAGTTACTTAATCTGTGTGGATTGTGAATGTTTTGCTTCCCAAATGGATGTGTTTTCTGTGTGTACTGTAGCTGCTTGAGCTTCTGCCTGATGGACTGCTTTGCTGACTGTTACTAATGCTTAGTTGTTTTCCCTCCCTGTGGTGTGTGGTATTGGGGTTTATATCCTAGCTCTTCATACAGATACAGCTGCCGGACTCCTGATTCGCAGCATTCACCTGGTAACACAAAGACTCAACGCACAGTGGCGGCAGGAAATGAGCATCTCATTAGCTGCACTAGAGCTTCTTTCTGGTTTGGCAAAGGTGAGCATCAGGCAGTCTGTTGGGCTATGGGATTTGGGCTCAGGTTTTCTGTCTCTCCCAGCCACAAGTTCTTACCTGATGATAATTGTAGAGAGTTTTGCCACCTCTTTAGTGAAAAGAACATCTGGCAGAGCTGGCAAAAATAATTTCCTCTGCGCTGAGGAGCCAACTCCTCCCACACAGTGTGTGATTTTCGTTTTTCCTCTTGGAAAAGAAATTGCCCTGGATAAATAATTCAAGGTGAAGAGTATGTTTAGTGAAATAAAATAAATGGCTAAAAGATAGCAGGGTTTTTTTTTCAATCCAGCTAGCTAGAAAGGCACCAAATTCCAGCACTCCTATGTGTCTCTTCTTTCTATATCATCATTTAAGCTTTTCAGTTGTGCTTTTACTACTTCAGAGAGTATTGATTTACATTGTATCTTAGTTTTGTTGTTATCAACTGCAAGCCTAATTTGAGAGGTTTCCAGCTGAACATCTGCCTTTGCTGCTTGCTTCAGGTGAAGGTTGGTGTTGATTCTTCTGACAGGAAGAGAGCAATTAGCTCTGTGTGCTGTTACATTGTGTACCAGTGCAGTCGTCCAGCTCCTCTCCACTCCAGAGATCTGCACTCCATGATCGTAGCAGCATTTCAGTGTCTGTGTGTCTGGCTCACGGAACATCCAGACATGCTTGATGAAAAGGCAAGTGAAATCGCACTGTTTATCTATTATGTGCAAACCACATTATTTTTCTCTAAATGTTAAAAAAATGTCCAGAGCAGCCGCTCCTCCTTTCACTGGGTAGAATAATGTGTTCCCATGTTTTGTTTCTAGTACCAGACTAGAGGCTGTACAACAGAAGTGTAAAATTCAAGTGGGCTAGAGGATCAGATTTCACCACCCAGCCCCATTGTTCCCCATCACTGTTCACTTGTAAAATATCAATTTTGACAACAACTCATCTACCTTAATTAGACAGTAAAGTTGCGGGGGAAGGTGGGCATAGAAATGGTTCCTGTGGGTCTGTCAAGCTTTCTGTTCTTAAATATTTATTAGAGTTAACAGATCACCAAAAAGTCTGACACACACACATACCATGCTATATCCCAGAAGCCACAGACATTGTATACCCCATTTGTATACCCCCAAATCCAGCTATCGTACTTGTCAGTGGCTGCTTCTGAGGCATAATGCAGTAGGCACTCTTTTGTTAGCAGAACAGTAGTGTGATAGGGGCCAAATTGGGAGGCCTAGAGGGTCTAATTTTCTTTATTAAATTTATATGCTGCCTTCCATCAGAGGATCACAGGGTGGTTTACAGTATAAAAACACAAAATGCATGACCTAATAAACAAATCAATACACCCCCCCTCCCAAAAAAAATGTGAGCACAAGTTCTCTGTTTGACACTTCTGGTGCACTCCGATCTCTGCCTCTGCCCTCTCCCTCTTGGAGTTTGAGGCAACACTCCACAGACTTTCTGTTCCATCACTCTCTTCCCCAAATTCACCTACCAGGATGTGTCAAGAAGGGGAGGGGGGAACCAGCCTACAAAGTCCAGGAACCACGAGTGAGATCCTTTAGCAACACAAGGGCTGCATTGCTGTAAGCTAGTGTTGGATAGCATCTTGTAGATCAGGAGTAGACAACATGGTGCCTTCCAGATGGCATAGATGAACACTAAATTAAGAATACATGAAAGCAGTGTAAAGTTCTTCCAGAGATTTTAGTCCTCATAAGTACAGTGAATTTGTCAGTGTATTTGCCAAACAGCTGAACATTATGGCTTCTCTCTATCCCCAGGACTGTTTAAAAGAAGTATTGGAGATTGTGGAACTGGGCATTTCAGGAAGTAAGTCCAGGAACAGTGAACAAGAATTCAAGAACAAAGGAGATAAGGAGCCCAATCCTGCTTCCATGAGGGTGAAGGATGCAGCTGAAGCCACTCTCACATGGTATGGAAAATAGTTCAGTCGACTGGTGATAGGAAATTGCTTAATTTAGAAGTGAGAGTCAGGAGTATTAGGAAATGATCCTTCAGAAAAGTGGTTTTCATTTGTGTAGGTTCTAGGAGTAGAAAAGGTGTTTACGTCCTCTGTGTGTTAAATGTTGTTTTCTTTGCAGATGAGCAGGATTTTGTCTGTTTCTGCAATCTTCTTTTGAATCTCACTTGTCTGTTTGTAGTTCTAGTTAACATTACACCATCAGTGTATCTGACAAGATGTCATAGCAATGTGTGAGTGTATTTTTCTGTGATATGTATTTTGACTTAGCCATTTTCTTTGGTTTACAGCATCATGCAAATACTTGGAGCATTTCCTTCACCCAGTGGCCCTGCCTCACCTTGCAGCTTGGTGAATGAAATCACATTAATTAAATGCTCCCGTCTTCCTTCCATAAACAAATTCAGCTTCCGCTACTTCGTCTTGGACAACAGCGTCATCCTTGCAATGTTGGAGCAGCCTCTAGGGAATGAGCAAAGTGAGTCTCAGCTGACAGTAGGGGGGTGGTAAAAATTTGTGTGCCGTGTTATCAAGTGTCTACCTGTTTCATTACACTGGTGTCCTGCTCTACAGAACATTGTGGAGTATTATGCAAAGGATGCTGGTGGCACTGTGGGTTAAACCAGTGTTTCCCAACCTTTTTTGGGCAAAGGCACACTTGTTTCATGAAAAAAATCTCGAGGCACACCACCATTAGAAAATGTTAAAAATTTAACTCTGTGCCTATATTGACTACCATATTTTTCGCCCCATAGGACGCACCGCCCCATAAGACGCACCTAATTTTTTGGGGGGAGAATAAAGAAAAAAAAAATTTCCCCTCCCCAGGCACGGGGCAGGCGCGGGGGAAGCCCAAGCTTCCCCCGACCCCAGCCCCCAGAACAGCCTGATATCCGCGAGCCTAGGGAGCCACACTGGTCTCCCCAGGCTTGCGGAGAGGTGCGTGAAGCCCGGGGGCGCTCTTCAGCGCGCACCAGGCTTCGGGATGCAGGCAGCTCTGCGCTACCCTCCAGAGCCCCGTGCGGCTTCGCGCTGGGATCCGGGGGGTGGCGCGGAGCTGCAAGAAGCCCTGGAGCGCAGGCAGCTTCGCACCACCCTCCGGAGCCCCGCGCGGCTTCGCGCCAGGATCCAGAGGGTGGTGCAGAGCTGCAGGAAGCCCTGGAGCCCAGGTAGCTCCGCGCCACCCTCCGGAGCCCCGCGCGGCTTCGCGCCAGGATCCGGGGGGTGGCGCGGAGCTGCAAGAAGCCCTGGAGCGCAGGCAGCTCCGCACCACCCTCCGCAGCCCCGCGCGGCTTCGCGCCGGGATCCGGGGGGTGGCGCGGAGCTGCAAGAAGCCCTGGAGCGCAGGCAGCTCCGTGCCACCCTCCGCAGCCCCGCGCGGCTTCGCACTGGGATCCGGGGGTGGCGCGGAGCTGCAAGAAGCCCTGGAGCGCGGGCAGCTCCGCGCCACCCTCCGCAGCCTCCTACGGAGGGCGCCCCGTGCTCCGCGCTGCTGGCTGCCGCCCGCAAGCCGTGCACGCGGGGGGGAGTTCCCCTGGGCGCGCAAGGCTTGCGGACAGCTGCGCGAAGCACGGGGCGTCCTCCAAAGGGCGCCCCGCGCTGCAGGCTGCCGCCCGCAAGCCTTGCGCGCCGGGGGGGGAGTTCCCCCAGGCGCCCAAGGCTTGCGGACAGCTGCGCGAAGCACGGGGCATCCTCCAAAGGGCGCCCCGCGCTCCGCGCTGCAGGCTGCCGCCCGCAAGCCTTGCGCGCGCGGGGGGGGAGTTCCCCCAGGCGCCCAAGGCTTGCGGACAGCTGCGCGAAGCACGGGGCGTCCTCCAAAGGGCGCCCCGCGCTCCGCGCTGCAGGCTGCCGCCCGCAAGCCTTGCGCGCGCCGGGGGGGGAGTTCCCCCAGGCGCCCAAGGCTTGCGGACAGCTGCGCGAAGCACGGGGCGTCCTCCAAAGGGCGCCCCGCGCTCCGCGCTGCAGGCTGCCGCCCGCAAGCCTTGCGCGCCGGGGGGGGGAGTTCCCCCAGGCGCCCAAGGCTTGCGGACAGCTGCGCGAAGCACGGGGCTGCAGGCTGCCGCCCGCAATGTTTGGATTTGCATCCAGCAGGAGATGCCGCCGCCGCCCCGCCTCTCCCGCCTCCCTCCCACGGCACACCAGGCAAGGTCTCACGGCACACTGGTGTGCCGCGGAACACCGGTTGGGAAACACTGGGTTAAACCACAGAGCCTAGGACTTGCCGATCATAAGGTCAGCGGTTCGAATCCCCGCGATGGGGTGAGCTCCTGTTGCTCGGTCCCTGCTCCTGCCAACCTAGCAGTTCGAAAGCACATCAAGTGCAAGTAGATAAATAGGTACCGCTCTGGCGGGAAGGTAAACAGCGTTTCAGTGCGCTGCTCTGGTTCGCCACATGATCCAGAAGCTATACGCTGGCTCCCTTGGCCAATAAAGCGAGATGAGCGCCGCAACCCCAGAGTTGGTCACGACTGGACCTAATGGTCAGGGGTCCCTTTATCTTTACCTTTATGCAAAGTATTAGGAAACTCTGGCACAGTAAAAATTCAGACAGCAAGAATGTTCACATTCACTGGGTATACAATAATATTTTTTATAATCTATGCAAAATCCAGCTTTCCATTTTCTCCAGATATTTCTCCATTTACAGTGTCTCACTTTCATAATACTATATAATGTTATCCTCCCCACACACCCCAAAAGGCCCTCTTTTTAAAAAATCCTCCCTGGATAGATTTCTCCATGTAGTGAAGTCTCTGGTATGGAGCTCGGCAGATCAATACCTGAATCTATAGTTGCCTTTTTATTTAAAATATTTATGCTTTGACTTTCTGAAAGCCAGAAACATATCATAAATAAAACTGCAACAGACTAATCAGTAGCAGTCAGCACAGAACGAATAACCAACAAAACACTTGAAATTCAATAACCTGCCGCGAAAGCTATTGGACAGCACAAATTAATAAGTTTAACCCACCTCTGGAATAGAACAGATTTACCTTGCCACCTGAAAACTAATCTGGCAGAATAAAACAGCCCTCTCTGCCTGGAAAGCTTGTTCCAGTGTTACATATTCACACTTATTTCAGTTGTAACTAAAGTCTAGATACATACAGTCGGTGTGCTACTGAGACAATCTAAATGATGATCACAGCAAACACTGGAAAAACTCCCTCAAGTCAAGCTCTCTGTTGAATATTCTGTCTCAGTTTGTTGTGCAATTTGAATATGTTATGCAATAGAGTCTGAATTTTCCATGTTTTGCTAACTCGGGTTTTTATTTTGACCATCCTTGCACCAGGAGGTGGGCTATTCGTAATACTTTTGGAGCATCGAAAGCACTTTGCATACAGTGGCCTGGCTCACACATTGCACTAAGCCAAACAATGGCAGCGCAGCAGCAGAACCAACCAGGAAGGAGCAAAGTGGTCACAATCTTCTCTTTGAGAGCCAGCATTCACACTAAGCTATTGTTTGGTTTAGCATGATTTGCAAGCCAGGACATTATCTAGGTAATCTTTTCAACAATCCCAGATACATCAGTGCCCAGACGGGTGGGCGTTGAGATTGAGGGAAAGTGAACTAAGGTCAACTGTCATGCATGAATTCTTACAAGATCTGAATTGGTTTGATAAAATAAGTCCACCCTTTTAGAGTTGTACTGTAGGCATTCAACCTAGTTAAACACAATTTTGGTCTGGCTTCTGGTACTTTGACTGAGTAACAGCTTCAGCTGAGCTCTTGTAGCTTGGCTTTGAACACCTGAGATGCTCAATGCAGTTTTTACTGCATCAGGTCATTTTTATTGACCACATTATTGGCCAGCTTAATCTCAACCCCTCCATCCTTTCTTTCACCTGGTCAACTAAGAGAAACTTCCCATGGTGTTTTCAGTTCCAAACTGTGGCGAAAGAGCCTTCCAATTCTTCTCGCCAGCAACGGCACATTTCTACCCACAGGGGGCAGGATTATTCTTACAGATTTGTTTGTTCAGTTTGCATATCTGCAGACAGTAGGGCTGACCGTTTTTCTTTGCTTGCTTACACATATGCACAGTTTCATGTTTAATTTCTCACTTCTGTCATATTGGGATACTTTTTCATGCGTGTGTGTTTCCTTCTTCAGATGACTTTTTCCCTTCAGTCACAATTTTGATCCGTGGGATGTCCGGAAGACACGCCTGGGCCCAACAACTTTGCCTCTTGCCTAGAGGAGCCAAGGCAAATCAAAAGGTCTTTATCAAAGCCCATAGTGAAAACTATGCATAACGTTGCCTCCAAACTGCTGTGAGATATATGCAGAGAAAGTAGTAACGCTATAGTATCCTTGATGAGTTACTAGCTTTTCCACCCTGTCGCTTTTCACACCTCTGAGGTGCCTTCTAGAAGACTGCAATATTATTCAGTCAAATGATCAGAGATGGGTACACATGGATGCATGTATATAAATGTACCATATGCACATGCTGTGTGTTGAATGTCCCATTTAACTCAAACATAGATTCATCATATCTAATGGTAGAAATCTACCCTTTGCATGCCTAGCTGTAGCTGGAACCATGCAGTGGGGTTTCGTTTTTGTAACTTGCATTGCTTAATCGGGAGCTCTGTGTGCCAAAAATATCTCAGGCTGTGCAAAATATTGGCATTTATTGGCATTTAGTGTGTAAATATCTTCAGACATGGGTGTGACGTGTTAATACATACTCTTGTTTTCTAAAAAGATGGTAAAAGCATTCTTTCTACATCTGTAGCTTTCCGTATTTTTCTTCTTTGAATTTTGTATTCAGATTTGGGATACATTCTTAGTTAAGGTCCAGGCAGACTCTACCAAAGTCAGATCAGGATCTCTAATTTTGCTATGGAAGAAACCATTCTGGAAGCTACTATAAGTGTTGCTTTAGTTATAACCTAAAAGTACAGCTCAGTCTAACCACACCCCCTGCCCCTTCTCCAAAACTCTTTACACCTGTTTCAGCAATAAACCATTGCTTCAGAAATATCATGCAATATTTGACACATTAAGAAAATTATGACATTGTTCTGTTTCTTGAACAGATGTTTGTCCCAGAGCCTCGTCCTGCACCTAAGAATGATGTTGGACTCAAATACAGCGTGAAACACCGGCCATTTCCTGAGGAAGTGGACAAGATTCCCTTCGTGAAAGCAGACCTGAGCATTCCAGACTTGCATGAAATAGTTACAGAGGAAGTAAGAGACTTGCAATATTTTGATTTCTTACCCCCTGTGTGTTTCTCTCCACAAAACGTTTTAGCCATTACCTAACAAATAGAATGTATTTTTTCTCAGCGACTTTTACTGCTTTACCTGTACTCAGTGTTGGTGTTACTGGCCAAAAGGGTGGGAGCCTGTCACAAAGTGTGCATTTCCATAGCCCCATACATCAAAATGCTCCCTGCATGCTCATCTTATAAACCCAAGTAAAGCATTTCCGGAGCAGATGCTTTTCAGGAAACTGCTGCCAAAGTGAGCTAAAATGTCCTATTGTTCTTATCCCTGTGAAGGTGAAAAGTCAGCTTGTTGCTTCTGTTAACACTTCTTGCAGCTGTTCTTTGAAATCGGGCACTGATTTAGGAGTGTCACAGTGCACGTGCTGAACAGCAGGTGTATCCATCTCTCTTAACCCAGCAGCTGAAGAACATCAGTGGTCACAGTTTTATTAGAAAGCTGGGGGGAAATTACAGCAGCTTTTCCAGGCACTCGTTGTCAGTGCTGTTTGGCTTGGCAAACAGGTAGTACCATTTGTCGTAGGCTGCTACTGCGCTCAGCAATTTCTGATGTCTAAAATGAGGGTGTTAAATATATGTTTCAGCTGGAGGAGCGGCATGAGAAGCTGAGAAACGGTATGGATCAGCAAGTTCTTTATGAGAAGTCTATAGATCAGCAGATGGAGGAAGACTGGAGAAAGAAGAATTTCCCTGACCCAGTCACAGAGTGTAAGCCGCCGCCTCCTGCACAGGAGTTCCAAACAGCACGCCTTTTCCTCTCTCACTTTGGATTTCTGTCACTAGAAGCACTGAAGGTGACTGGAGGCTTCCCTTAATTGCTTCAAATGCTGCCATTATTAGAGACTATTACTGTTTAATATTGGGTCCAACCGCTTATAGCCTACATTAGACAGAGCTGTGCAGGAAAGCAGAACAAATTTGGGTACAAATAACAAAGATGTTTGTGGCATCCTGAATATTATAAAATTGTTGGTTTTCAAGGTGCCACAAGACTCTTCGTAAGGTTTTCTTTTTCTTGCAACAGACTTAACACAGCTACTCCTCTGGATATTTATCTAAATTACTTTCAGAAAGTGTTAACCATTGTGATGCCATCAGTCTATGTGGGTGTAAGGCTGGCTATTGTATCTACATGGTTTTTTAAAATTGAGTTTATGTGTATGGGCGGAGGGGCTCTTTTTCTTCAGATTTTAAAATTAGGTCCTTGTTTCATTGTTGTATGTAGAAGAAATGTGCCTTTCGTTTTTATTAATTAGTACAATTCCTTTTTTGCATCCGCACACCTCTGTGTTGCTATATAATAAAGCTGTAAGGCTGTTGTCAAGTTGCAGTTAGTGTGGCTGCCAATAGATGGCCACAGCAATTCCAGCATCATGACAGAACAGATGGGAGATCAAGCAATGTGGGTGATAGATGGCACAGCAGTTTAAAGGAGGGTAAGAGGAACTTCAGAAAGCAGTTTGGCAAACTCTGAAGTGCCTTTTCCCCTTCTGTTAAACATCTCTCCCATGGCGTTTGAAGAGGGTGGGGTGCGCTTCAGAGAGCAATTTGGCAAACCATTCTCTGAATTTCCTTCCCATCCTCCTTTAAAAGGGGGTTGGGGGTGAGCAGGAAGGGGAGGGGAGGTTTGGGTGAGCTGTGAAGCGATAGACAAAGACATGTATACGAGACTACTAATGTGGGCTCTTCCTCTTGGATCTTCTTTAGCAAGCTAATTGCATTAAAAAATTTAAGTGACTGATATAGGTAACCACAAAAGGTGATTGTGTAGAGGTATAAAATCTACGTTGCTTTTTGTTTGGTTAGGAACCTGCTAACAGCAGACTACCTCCTCACCTGATTGCACTTGATTCTACTATACCCGGGTTTTTTGATGACATTGGCTACCTGGATTTACTACCATGTCGTCCTTTTGATACAGTTTTCATTTTCTATATGAAGGCAGGTCAGAAAACAAGCCAAGAAGTAAGTGGCATGCTTCTAATTTAAACTCTATCAAAAAGTGTATTCAAAACATAAATATATATTCTCTTGAACTAGAGGAGTAGAAGAGTGTGTCTTTCACATCACTGGACGTGTATCATCGCTGAAACCCCTTAGAACTGGGTAGCACAATGCTATGATGGCACACGGTGCATATGCAGTTTCTTTGCACTGCCTAGTTCAAGCTTTCCCCAACCTGGTACCTTCAAGATGTCTTGGACTACATTCTCATCACCATTGGTCAGGGACAATGGGAGTTCTAGAATTGTGGAATACATACTGCCCTGGGGTAGATAACCAGTTAACAAGCTGCTCCAATGTTGTTTACTCTGCTATCTAGATGGCTTGATACTTCAGGCCAGCACTTCTAAACACCTTAAAAATGTGCATATATAGCCTTCTTAACTGCACTGCTGGCCTATTTTCTTCCAGATTTTGAAGAATGTAGAGTCTTCCAGAAATGTCCAGCCACACTTCCTAGAGTTCTTGCTCTCCCTTGGCTGGTCAGTTGATGTAGGGAAACACCCTGGATGGACGGGGCATGTCTCAACTAGCTGGTCCATTAACAGTTTCTGTGATGAGGAGGGATCTGAGCAAGGTGAGAGGTGTTTGTGGAGGTTTCTGTCTGCTTTAATACTTTGTGTCACCTTAGTGTTCTAGAGAGGGATAAAGGCAGAAGGTGCCTTCTTCCCCCTCTACCCCAAGACCTGGTAGATTGCATGCTCCTCCAGAAGACCACTGCAGATCTGCATTGGATTTGGAGAAGGGGTGACTGCATATTCACCACTATCATCCCATTGTGATTTGGGAAGAAGGAGGTTAAGCACTGCCCCTTGTTCTTAGGACGCTTCCTTATGCATAGTTTTAGAAGGGGTGGCCAGAGAGCTGTTCTTATACTGCTTTTCTTACATCACTGCTGAGATTAGTATCCCCAGATCTTCTGGTGCAGCAGCAAGTGGTATGCAGAGAAGTGCCTGCAAGGATCTCTCCATATTCATCTGTGGAACAGATTCATGAAAGGTTTGGGGTGGATGTCCTAGAAAGTAGAATAAGTTGTAAAATAGGTGGGGGGGGGATGACGAAGTTCATAACGAGACTGGAAGACCTTCCCATTAACCCCATCTTTTTATTTGCTTTGTTCTCAGATGAAATAATTCCTTCAGAAGACATTGGGGCAAGTATCTTCAATGGGCAAAAGAAAGCACTATATTATGCAGATGCTCTTACAGAAATAGCTTTTGTGGTTCCCTCACCTGTGGAGTCCTTAAGTAAGTGTTCTCTGTGTGTATCTGTTGATTCCGTAGCTAATTCCAAAGAGAGTTCCTCAGTTGTGTCACAAGTGTATTAAATATTTGCAATAGAAATGGGTGTGCATTGAGAATTCTAGAGTTGTATCCAATGGTGCACCAAGGAGTTCTCCTGGCGCAATGAGTGTTTCCTTTCCTTTGCTTTCCTCTCTTCCCCCTGTGTATTTGTTACATCTGAAGTGTAATTGCCACTCATGTGTTTGTGCCTAACTTCTCCCTTTTGGCTTTCAGCTGATTCCTTGGAAAGCAATGCTTCAGACCAGGAAAGTGACTCCAATATGGACCTTCTGCCTGGAATACTAAAGCAGCCTGCACTGACACTTGAGCTCTTCCCCAATCATACAGACAATCTCAGTTCTTCGCAGAGGGCAAGTTTATGCAACACTGACCAATTGAAGTGTACTTGATATGCAAGTGATAGTCTTAAAGTCGAATAGCCTCTTCCTGTATTAAATAATATGAACTGTTTCATGATACACTAAATAATACTTGCAAAAAAATGTTATTTCAGAAATAGAATAATTTAGTAGGAGCAAGCTTCCCATTTTAAAGTAATTAAGGTCCTGTCTTCCCCTTGGGTTGTGTTGGGTTCCTTTTTTTAGGACTATCACAGTTATCAGACGCTTAAAGTACAGTATTTTGTACCTGAGGAAATTTTCCCCAGCAAGTGCCTCCGTTGCCATGGTGCATCAGAAACAAATCAAAAGGAATCTAAAATCATTGGAGATGTTTAGGCCTCAGCCTGACCACAGTACAATATTTATTGTCTTTCTAATGAAGTGTTCACAATAGGTTGTGTGCATTATAATTATTTTTCCCAAAACTTATGAAAAGGACAGTCTGAATTGCACACCTGTAGCTTTGATTATTTGGTGACTGTCTTCTTTTTTTTCTTTTTCTTTTGTATTTTCAACAGCTCAGTCCAACTTCCAGATGCAAGAGGTTACCGCATGGTCGGGCTGTTCCACCAATGGGACCTGAAACCAAGGTGTATGTGGTCTGGGTTGAACGTTATGATGATATAGGTGGGTGAATCTTAGGCTTTTATTATGGAGTTTGCATGAGCAGGCGGGAGCTGACATAAAAGCCTTAGGTTTCTACTCACCCCCTTCCCTTCTTCTCCTCCTGGCTGGGAGAAGGACTCTACTAGTGTTTACACTTGGTAACCCGAGCTCAGCATTCTGTGCCTGCCACAGATTGTGGTTTAAAACAGCCCTTGTCAGTTTCTAAGCAAACCATCTTCATAACCCAGGCCCCCATGTCCAGTTCTTGTTTTATTAATTTGCTTGTTTCAGCCATTTGTGGGTAGTATAGAAAGTGTTTTACTTAAGATTATTACAAGAAGCATTGGTTTTAAAAATATAAAATGGAAAGAAAACCCAACTTGTTTATTTAGAAGAAGCTGGTTCTGCTTCTTCTTGCTCCTCTTGGGGGCAAACTGGTTCTGCAGCGATCCCCGTAGTGGCATTTGGAGGAGGGCTGGGCTGCTGTGGCAGCTGGATGGTGACAATTCCTCAAGCTCCTTCTTTCTCCACTCTGCTCAGGAAACGATGGTCCTTCAGAACAATTCTAGTTACATGTTTTTAAATACCAGTCACTTAACATGATTTGGTTTCTCATTTTGTACTATCTCTTACAGCTTGAAAAGGGAATATTTAATCTATCGTGGATATGTTTATCTTGCAGAGAACTTCCCTCTCTCCGACTTGGTTTCAGAGACCAGCACTGGAGTAGAAACTACAACAAACAGCAGCACTTCGTTAAGGTATGGACCGAATTTATCCGCATTTCCACCTCTGCCATTTGCATAGAAGTTAATTCAGGTTAATGCACTGCTTCCTGCTATTTCTTTCACTCTTGGAAGTACTCTGCTCACATGCAAGCTGGGTGTTGAGTGTTTATGGATTTTAGTCCCAGCAGCTCTTAGAAAGATGTGTTGGCACTTGAGAAATGTTGCAGAAATTCACGAGTCCAAAGGGTGTGGTTACATGGTCCTTCCCCTTCTTTCAAACACGTATTTTTGGCCCAGAAAACTGTCAGTCTGATGCCTTATATTCCTCCTATCACGCAATATTTTTATGGCATTGCCCAGATTTTGTTCCTTTAAGTAGCATTCAAAGTGTACCCAATTCCTACACTTTTCTGTATTTTTCAAGTTTTTATTTAATTTTGAAAAAATGTTGGCTGGCCCAGCTGTTTCCATTTTGAAATGTTTGCTTACATTGGTAACATTTATGTGTTTAAGGTCCGCCACTCCTGAAAAAGAGGTTCCAGTGATTTTCATCCACCCCCTAAATACTGGATTGTTCAGGGTTAAAGTGCAAGGAGCTACTGGGAAATTCAACATGGTCATCCCACTGGTGGATGGAATGATAGTAAGCAGGAGAGCATTAGGTAGGTGCTTTTAATTAACTTTGGATGATTAAGCAACACTGACACTAAACCCTACATATATTAAGTAAAATAGAAACATCACCACCCGACCCCACCCCCCATCTCCCCCCCCAACCTCTTTCCCCCTTTTCTTCCTAATGTCTCAACAAATGAAACTGATTTGTAAAAATGTTACATGGTAAAAATATGAGAGAGAGAGAGACAATACACTTACTTTTGTAAATCAAGAAAATCTTCAATAAAAATGCATTTAAAAAAACAAAAACAAAACAGAGCTCCCCTTGGAGTAAGGGAGGAATAATGATAAAAAACATTGGGTGATTAACATAACTCGCCTCTTTGGGGCTATGAGTGCAATTTAATAATGCTATCCCTTGCCACATCAGCACCAGGCTACTTCTGATGTTGCAAATTGTTCTGCCTGGAAAGAAAAATGCCCCCATTTCGCCCTTTCCAGTGAAGGAGATAACCTGGAGTGCTTGGATGGGATTCTCAGCAACAGTAGCCATATCGAAAGGCATCGGTTTGTGGGTGGCTGATTGAATGACAAACGTTCAGATACTGTGTTCATATACCATCTTTGATCTTGTTGGGGAAGGTGTTTTCCAAGAAGGCAGGGAACTGGCCTTTTCGTACTAAGGCAGAGTAGCACATACGTTTCAAGACAGTCTCTTCGGCCAGATTTATTCCTAAGTAAAGTTGACAAGTATGAGAAGATTCCAAACCTCACAAGTGTCGCTGACTTGAGGATGCAAAAAACACTTTTTCCTTTTAGCCTCAGAAAGTCCTAAAAATAACTTTCCTGGGGGAAGAAGTAAGCAGCATTAACATGTTCTTTTTTCCATTTAAGGCTTCTTAGTGAGACAGACAGTAATAAATATTTGTCGAAGAAAACGGCTGGAAAGTGACTCGTACAATCCTCCACATGTCCGTCGAAAACAGAAAATAGCTGACATTGTCAATAAATACAGGAACAAACAGCTGGAGCCAGAGTTTTATACCTCTCTTTTCCAGGAGGCTGGGCTCAAAAACTGCAATCCTTAGACCAATATCCTCCCTGAACAATTAGATCAGAGCTTGGTGTCTACGGTAATGGGGGGGGGGACCCTTCCCCACCCTGCAAGTCCTGTATAAAGAAACCACAACCTGAGCATGACTTCTGCTTCTGCTGCAAGGAAGAAATGAGGACACAATATAGGCACTTTCCCTGAAAACCAGCTTCACTCCATCAGCTGCTGCAGAGGGACAAACTTTCACCATCAGTCACTATTTAGTAATATATAGTGGATGTGTAGTAGAGAGAGGGGGGTTAACTGCACTTCTCATAGCTTTCTCTGTTGACATAAAATGCCAGATTCTGAACTAGCACCTGAAGTTTGATACTTGGATTCATAGCAGGTTGGGTTCAGGTGCATTTTTTTCCAGACAGAGACCATGAAATTGCAATAAATTATTGTGCTATATCTTGTTTGGTTTGCTTTCCCACCTGCAAGCAGGCCTATTTATTTATTTTTAGCTCCACTCAGAGGCTCTATTTCTGATTCTCCTCCTCTAGATCCAAGATGCATGTACCCATGGGTCCGTTGCTCAAAGTTTCTTTACCTTTGTAGGTTGCAAGCACCCTCTACCTACTGCTGGCCAGTCCAGGATAAAAGCTCTGGGGTATTGGTGAGGGATGGGGAAGCAAAGAAGGCTGGCTCTTTGAGCTAAGGATGGTCCATTTAAGTCAGCTTTGAGACAAAGAAAAGCCTGTATAGTGGTTCATCCCAATTGTATTTATGACCAGTACATAATTTCACCTGTATCTTATGAATGCTAAAAATGTGATTTCTCATCTGACCAGTCCACCCTTATAGAAAGAAGTGAAATCCTTGTCCTGGAAAAGGTGCAATCAGAATGTATGTCCATCTCTGCATGTAAGAACTAGTTACAACCACCCTATTGTGAAATCTGATTTCTGAATTGCAAATGTTCTTTACAGAAAGGGATAGATGCTTCTTTTCATGTCCCACAGTTCGTTCATTCATTTTACTGAAAGAGGTGGGTTTCTTTTTTTAAAAAGGAATTATTCAAACCTTGGCACACCATAGCTGTCCAATGTCATTGGAAGTGAAGACCCATGCAAGTTAAATGTAAGGTCATTAAAAAGTGTACTAGAAATTATCTGATAATTGTTACAAGTGTTTGAAATTAAATGGTTTCATCCTTGCTTTGCACTGATATCAGTCTGGAACCATATATTACATGCATGGCTTCTGCCCAAAACAACCGGCAACGTTGTTCCCACCCTTAACATCTAGTAATACAAAGTCATGCGGCTTCAAATTTTCCTGGTGTTCCTCCACTTCATTGGCTAATGTGTGTTGTATTACTGGATGTTACTGGAGAGGAAAGAAATAGCTACCCTGTGCAGATTTAAAAAATAAATTATTAGATCACTTGGTTTTCTTCTGCTTGATACTTGGATGCAAGGCAGGGTACCATTTTCTTAATAAAACCTTTATTGAAGCTGATAAAACCTTTTAAAAAATTACCTGCACATTTTATAAATGGAGGCCGTGTTTTCCAAAAGGGAATCCAGAAAATAATGCTTTGTGCAAGAACTTTCTGGATAGCTATTAAAAAAAAGTCAAATTGCATTTTCAGAAATAAATAAGAGATACAAACCTAGTCCACATTTATTTGGAAACAAGTCCTACTGATTTGAACATATTTGATTCCTAGTAGGCATATAGTATGATATTTAAGCAAGAATTAAGTTCCTAAGTTCCCAACACGGTTTACGTTTGAGGTTTTTTGATGGTTCTCTTCTCTTTTTTTACCATCAGCCTTGCAGATTAGCATGCTTTGCTTTACTATTGCCTAGGAAGTTGCTGGAACGCGTTCAAGGATAAAATGTGAAGAATAACTATTTAGAAGCAAACACTCCCAAGATCAAGATGATTCACTTCATAGCAGCCCCTTAGTATTTAAGATTCATCATTGGGGAACCAGTATAATATCCTTACAAGTCTTAACCTAGTACTGAAACAAGGCTGAGAAATTCTAGAGCAAAATTAACTCTTGATTCTTCAGAAGCATATATAATAATAATAATGCAAGTGGCTTACAATTGACAATACCATTTTTGTTTTGCTTTAATTTGTTCATTTTTGCTTATGGAACACATGGCCAGTAGTCTTCTGAAGCAAGTGAACTACTCTCCCAGTGTTAGTGAAACACAAGTTGGTGGGCCTTTTCAGTGTCTAAAATTAATATGGTCTGTTCAGTTTCTGTGCCCAGGTGGGCCCACAGCATAGAATGTAAATGCCAGCCCTTTTGCTTTTAAATACAGCATTGGAATATCCTTTGAAAAACAGTTGACTTCCACTTGTCTATTTATTTATTTTTTAAATACCCAGTGTTCCCAGTATGCATAGCATGGAACTTTGAAAACTTTTACCTGTAACTGATGTGTTAGCCATAAAAGACATAGACAGCTTTCGTTTAGTTAAAACGTTTACCTTTCTCAATGTTGCTATGCAATCTGATACTTGAGGGCAGGAAGCAAACTGTCCATTAATAGAACGTGCAAAAGTAAGTTATATTTTGACTCTTTGAGATCCTGAAGAAAAGCTCTTTTGAAACTGGCCTACAGCAGCAGTATTCCCCTATATCTTTTGATGTAGTTGAATTATGACAAAGAAAGCAGAGTGGCAAGGTCTGGAGCAATTGGCGAAGGGCTTAGCAAAAAGAAACTTGGTCGCTTTTGATGGATTTCCAGTGAGGCTATGTGTGTTAAAGCTAATCTTTGAGGCAGTACTTGCTTCATAACGGTTATAGCAAAAATATTTTATTACACAGCACTCCTCTGAGAGGTGTACTTTTTGTTCATAAAAGCTGCCAGGGTGGTCATTTAAAAACCCTAAAGAGCTTCCTGGTTTCTTAGGGAAGATTAAACAATGGAACCTGCTGCTTACATTGAATTAGCATGCTAGCATCTTGTCAGCTTGTGGTGTGGGTCCACATATGAAAAATAAGGGCGCATCATAAAATCACTCTCAAAGTCTGGCATGTTTAGCTGTCCTGCTTAATTGATGCACAGATTGGAACAGCAAATAGCACTGCTAGTGGGGATGCAGGTTGTTCTGATACTTGCATAGCAGTTACTTAGTACTGAACATTTGCCAGTATTAACCTAGTGCACTAACACTAAACTTAATTGAACCCTCTTAGATACTGTTCTGATCTAGATGATGATCTGTCACATTTAGTCCATGGATTAAATGGCACAACCAATGCATGCGTACCACAAGAGCCGTGTAATAAAAGGTTGAGCAGTTGGGCGACTGCATATAGAAATCAGTGGTTTGAACCATGTACGTACTTTGGGTGAAGCCATTAGTTTGTTTTAACTAATGACCTGCCCAAACCATCCTTTTGAGTTACACAGACAGGACAGAAATGTATTAAATCTACAACAGCTTTTGAACTGGGTTAGAGGCATGGCCCAGTTTGGTGTTCAAGAGTTTAAATAATTTGCTTTTAATTACAGCCTCTCATGTTCAAAAACCTTCTGTTTAGTAAAAGAAATTTCAGTTTGTTAAACTCTGCTGTGAAAATAAGGGTTGTATGCTTGTAAAGGTCCCCCCCTCCCCCAGGAACTCCTTTCTATTAAGCCAGTGTATTCTTGCCCCCAGGAATTTACTTCTCCAAAATTTATAATTTGCTTGATGCAGCCTTAACTTAGCCTGCATTTTATTTTATTTTTTAAAAAACCCTGCTCTTGAGCAGACATGGTGCCCTGAATCCACATTTGTGTTATACTTACTTTTTCTTCCATTGGGTACTTAACACCACACAAGTGGACTTGAAGTTGTGGCCTAAATCTGCATGCAGGAATTCTTTTGATTCTGTTAATAAAAATACTACGGAGGGAAATAACAGCAGTGATTTCTCCAAACAGCACTGAGCAATTAATGGAAATGTGTAAGGGCTCACTTTCGCTGTGTTATCCCAAATGTGTGTGATGTGGTCCTTTGGTACAGATGCTGGTTGTCTGTCTTTGTATGTGTGTAAATGAGAAGGCTTCCAAGTGCACTGATAGCTTCCTGTCCCCTGTGCAGAACTATTGACTGACCAATTAACTGCAATACAATGTTCTGTCTAGAGCTCTCTAAACATGACTGCCTTTGAAAAATTGGTTCTTTTTAGGTCAGGTTGAGGCATCAGGCTTGTAAAACTCAATATAACATTTAAATTTCCAACTTTTGTTTTGGATACCATTGCACAGGATAATCAAAAGAATCGAAGTTTGTAGACCAGGCTTGGTTCTTAACATTTAGGTTGCTTGTTTCCTATTACCGTTTCCTTTGGGTATCTTAACTACCATGTATTATTTGTTTTCACTCTGGTCTCTTGAAGAGATAAAATATTAGGGCTGCAGTATTTACCACATAAACACATACAAGGGTTGTACTCAAGTCCTCTTAATAAAGCATCATACACTTGGAAGTTAGTCATCTCCACAACAATTTCAAATCAAAAATGTCAGTTTTAGTACCTTTTTGATAGTTTCCATTTAAGAAATATAAAGCACCTTTAAGCTGGTCCTTCAAATATATTTTAAATGTAAAGAAAAAAAAATCAAATGGGGAGGGAGCTGAGTGGAATCATGTCTGAAAGAGTAGCTATTTTGTATGGAGAGCAGCTATAGAAAACGCAGCTTGCTTCAGGTCCTCAGTACCAGCCCTATTTTCTTCAGTGGGTCATAAGCTGTTAGGAGTGCCTTGAGGATTGGACTGCCCATTATCTGTAGCCACTTCCCAGGAGGGAAGTATACAATTGTCATGCAGTGTTCATAATATTTAGCCCAGGTGGATTATAGAACTATAATTCAACATGAATAGTGAACAGAAGTACAACACGTTGATAGTTACACAATTGATAGAGTGCATCTTTGAAAGACAACTGGGTTTTTGCAGGAGTACTTGGAAGGAGATGGCTAGATACCATGTGCTTAATCATGTACAATTGTGTATAAAGTTCTGTATGTTGCCAAGACATGATCTTTTTGTTCTAATTGTATTTTCTGTAAATATTCCTACCACTAAGTTGTAAAGGCAGACTGTAAATACGAAGATGTGAAGCTATGTTCCTCTGTCTCTAGTACTTTATCTCTTGTTTAGGGAAGGCACAAAGGCTTGTTTGTATTTATGCCAACTCTTTGTCTAGAAGAAACACATCAGATCTTGAATGTAACACAATTAGTCAAATAAATTTTAAAGATTATTCTTATGTATGAAGCTGATGGTCTTCGGTGTGTGAGCTCCTTCTCCTGTTATCCTTCATATACAAATGAGAATGGGGAATTGCTTAGTGTCTACGGTGCTTCCAGGTGTTGCTGTTGGCACCAATGGCAGTAGCATAGAAATTATGGAAGACAAAGATATTTCATTTGGGAATTTAAACTTCCTATCCCTTTTTTTTTAATATGATACAAGAACATAGGGAAGACTTCAATGCCACTCTTCTGATCATCCTGTCGGCACAAGCAATTCTGCTTGCCACATGGGACAACGCCCACACTCTCCCCCTCCCCAATTGTTCTCGAGCTTTTCCTGACCTTCCAGAATGGATTTGGGTGAGGTGGGAGAGGCAGAGGAGGAGGAGAAGCCCTCTTGCACTCTCAGGAGCCCTTGTGCTGGCTCCTGGTAGCACATTGAGTTAGCTGAATCTGGGCCAACAGAGCCCTGCTTGCTCAACTACTCTCGCATTCTGTTCTCAAATCGGTCAACCAGATAACAATTTCTGTCCTGTCTGTGCTCATAATAATATCCTATTATATGGTAGAGTTACATTAGTAATCTCTTTTTAAAAACCTAAAAAGGAAGGTGTGTGCTGCCCCTTAATAGGGCTGAGGCAGGAAGCTAGGTATTAGCTAAGAAGTGATTTCACAGCAAAGACAAGATTCACAACAGGGACTTCCTCATTCATATTAGATGTTGCAACATAGGAAACTGCCTTATGCAGAGACAAACCATTTGGTCCATCTAGCTCAGGCATCTCCAACCTTCAGCCCTCCAGATGTTTTGGACTACAATTCCCATCATCCCTGACCACTGGTCCTGTTAGCTAGGGATCATGGGAGTTGTAGGCCAATACCTCTGGAGGGCCGCAGGTTGGGGATTCCTGTTCTAGCTCATAACTGTCTACAGTAGCAGCTCTCCAGAGTTTCAGAGAGGAGGCTTTGCTGGCCCTGCCCGGAGATACCCATGACTAGACCTGAGTCCTGAGTGCAAGGCATATGTGATGCCCACTGAGCTAAGGCAGTGATTCTCCATCCTTTGAAACCATCTGGACCAGCATCAATTTACACCATGAACATGTGGATTTGTACGACTGATGTGCTATCCCTTGCAAAACGCTGCTGCTGGAGTTGCCCTAAATCACTATAAATCTGTGAATAATTAATCTGATCACAGCTCATGGATAATGCAGGTCTTGAAAATCTCTCAAAATAGAAATTGGGAGATGAGAAAAGTTTGTGGCAGTCCCACTTTGTTAAATTATCACTAATAATGCAGGGATGGTTTACAAGCAAGCTTAAGTGTACAGACACCTTTTTATTTTTACGGTTTTCAAGCTAATTGCTCTCAGAAGTGCAAATCAATGTAGCTCACAGTCTATCACATAACAGAGCTGAATACAGCTTCTCATTTCTAAAAGCACAACTGCAATGTTCTCAGAAATCTCTAAATAAAGCAGCATCACCTTCCATCTAAGTAGCTCAGCCTTGGTCCTATAGTTTGCTTGCATGACATGGAGGGCTCTTGCAAGTATTTATGGACCAAGAAGCCACATCTATATATTTTTTCTTGTAAAAGTATACACATTCAACTTCAGTGGGGCATTTCCCTCTCCTTAAATGCACCTCAAGGCTCCTATTTTCCAAGATCCGGATTTGACTTTGTATTCATACTGCGCCACCAAAATGCTCACCACTGTGGTTGGCTTTCCCGAAAAAGAACCACACGCACAAGCAACAACAACAACTAATGAACAGCCCCAACATGGGAGGTCATGCACAAGTCAGGAGGAACATGTGCAGAACATGTTACAGAGCCTGTTTGGTTGTACAAAGCAACATCAAATTGTTAAAACGTCTTGGCTGCTGTTGGCAGGTAGTATTGTACATTTGGGTTTAGAGGTATACGAGATGAAGTCCCGCCATATGGCACTAAATGATTGTGGTTTTTCCTTGCCTTGCATCAAATGTATTCACCTTTAGATCACTCTTAAGGTCAACGTCACCCATTCCATACACTGGAAAAGCTACAGGTAAGAAAGGGTTTAGACTCAGCCTCTTGATGTCAATGTCCATGTCTCATTCCCCCCTCCCCGGCTGGCTTCCACAGCCGCTATTCCAGATTGTTGCTGCTTCAATGGATCTTCCCCTTTCCTTTCCTAGCCCCTCTATCTTTTATGTTGCTGCACATATGCGCACAGCTTAAATCATGGCAATTAAATGCCCATTAAATGCAGCAGCCGCAGCAGCAGCACAACACAGAGAAGGAGTGTTATAATGGTGATATGAATTCAAGAGCTTTGTCAAAAAGAGTATGGCTGTGCTGCTTGAATCCATAGATCTCACATGCCTGGCCATCTGTACATTTGTGTTCCAAGTGTTTTTCCTCATGCAAGCCAGGTGCCTTAAATATGGCTATTAAATATTGACAACGTACTACACGATTCAAAAGACCATGGGTGGTTCTTTCAGCCTTGCTTTCATATAGCACACTCTTTTCCTGCAATGCACACTACACCGAAGTGGTTCTTGTACAAGGGGAAAGTCTGTAACAAGGCAGATATCTGTATACTGCAAGCATTACTCTTATCACACCTATATTGCTACACCAGGAATAAAAAATGTCCCATATGGTTACCTTGGCTGCTATCCTTTTTTCACGGAAACCTTTCACAGATTTGCTTGTCTTGCTTGACTAGGAAGAAGGATGCTACAACTCACACAAATGCTTCACTGCATATCTGTGCTAGTTTCTGGGTTAGGTTTGCCAGGAAATTTTAAACTGCTGTTTTAAAAAAACCTCCGTCAACGAACCTAGCCTGACTTGCGTCTAATGCTGCAAATGTTCTATGCAGCTCTGTAGTCCCCTGGCTGTCAATGGTCATCAATGGCTGCTTTCCTAATGTTTTATTTTGAAATAAGTACAACCCACTCTGTGAAGAGGCAGGTGCAATTAAATTCTATTAGGTGTTAGAAACAAGAAGAACTTATACCAATTTAAACAACAAGATAATTAGGATATACTTATTGTGTGGATTTAAAAAAAAATTACTTTGCACAAAGACATTAAGAATGTATCTCTGTAGTTTACACCACTGTTTTCTCTTTGCAGATGACTACCGAAGCATTAAGTGGCATTAATCTTAGTGCCCAAATGCATTCAAATTCTGCGTGTATTCTCAAAAGCAGTCTTTCAGATTTCAGAATAACCATTTGTATGCAAGCACCTATATTGCAGAGCGCTGAAGTTCCCTGTTTTCTATAAATCAGCATCTAATACTGTGCATAAATGCAATTGTCCCAATGGAGTTTTGCTGCTGTGCAAGAGCTGTGGCACTCTCAGTTATGCCCAAATTGTACCCAAACTCACCAGCACAATCCAATGGTCAGAAGATTGGAGGGATGCAAATACTTTCTAAGATATATTGGACTTGAGGGGAGGGTGGGATATCCCACAAAAGTGACCCAAACCCAGCCAGATGGGTGGGGTATAAATAATAAATTATATCCTCTGGCTGGGACGGAGCGATATGGGATTGAGGGGGCAACTCCCATCTCTTGCGGGGGTGCAATTAGTGCCAGCATCGTCCGTTAAGAGTTTGGGTGTAATCTTCGATACCTCCCTCTCTATGGAGGCGCAGATTACAGCTATAACAAAGGCGGCATTTTTTCATCTCCGCCAAGCTAAGCAGTTGGCTCCTTATCTCTCTCGCCCTGACCTAGCCACTGTGATCCACGCGACGGTCACCTCCAGACTGGATTATTGTAACTCGTTCTACGTGGGGCTGCCCTTGAGACTGACCCAGAAACTCCAGCGGGTGCAGAATGCCGCGGCGAGACTCCTTATGGGGTCTCCGCTGCGAGATCATATCCATCCTGTGCTATACCAGCTGCACTGGCTCCCGGTGGAGTACAGGATCAGGTTTAAGGTGCTGGTTTTAACCTTTAAAGCCCTATACGGCCTAGGACCCTCGTACCTACGGGACCGCCTCTCCTGGTATGTCCCACAGAGAAATTTACGGTCTGTAAATAAAAACATCTTGAAGATCCCAGGCCATAGAGAGGTTAGGCTGGCCTCAACTAGAGCCAGGGCCTTCTCGGCCGCGGCTCCAATCTGGTGGAACGCTCTGTCACAAGAGACTAGGGCCCTGCAGGACCTGACATCCTTCCGCAGGGCCTGCAAGACAGAGCTGTTCCACCAGGCCTTTGGTCAGAGCGCAGCCTCTGGCAATCGGCATTCTGCACAGAATTTTGCTTGATGGTTGCCATTAATTTGATTTTAATTTGATTTAATTAATTTTATAATGAATGTATTTTGATTGTTGTTAGCCGCCCTGAGCCCAGCTTCAGCTGGGGAGGGCGGGATATAAATAAAATTTATTATTATTATTATTATTATTTATTATTATTATTATATTGACAATTGCTTCAAAGGATAGTTGGTCATAATGTAGAAAATTATGAAAGCCCAAGACGCATGGCCTTACAGTGCAAAATGTTTTTTCCGGGCAAGAAAGCATTAAGCTCATCAGTTTATAGCAGAGCAAATATCCTGCAAATGGTTGCTCATTCATTGCATCAAAAACATCTTAAATTAACTTAAAGACAAAGGGTGATAGTCAACATTAGTCTCCCACAGAGTAAATCATTGAAATCAATGGATTTTTGGTCCATTGATTTCCATGGATCTACTCTGAGAATGAGTAACATTGGATGTTGGCAATGTAATTATGACATAAGTTTTCACAGACCATTTTATTAATCAGATTCATTACCTTCAGCTGGAAGATGAGTGAAGTGGGGGGGGGAGGAATCTTTTCTTAAAGAATTGCCTCTGTTTGGGAGACAATTGCATTTTCCTGGCATTCAAACAGGGCCTGGTCTAAAAAGACAAGCAGTTTCAGGTCAGTACCTAGAGCATTTTATTAATAAATGAAACATAGTGGGTTGTAGCCAATATTTTAAAGTCTGGGTCTATTATCGTTAATATTGGGTTGA